CGGATCACAGCGAATTGTCGCAGTAAAACATTTTCAGAAGCCAATGATCATGCCCTTATGGTCCCGTTATACAGTCAAGTCCCGTTAATCCGACATCGACGGTTGCATATGATTATGTCGGATTAACGAGTATGTCGGATAAACGAAATTTACTTTATTACTTTATCATTACAAATGTTCATACACGTACACTATTCGTATATGAATACCTGTGATGTTTCTTATATATTGCGGGGGCACGGGTGACCTAGTCGTCTGAGGCGCTGCAATTCGCTGTTCTGAGTTGCGTCCCTTGGGCATGCCAGTAACCTATGATTGTGGGTTCGAATTCACGACTATGTTTCTAGATTTGTCAGCACCATACCCGTGCTCGTGCGTTTCACAGAAGTGGTAAACGTCTCAGACCTGCATCACTTCGGGCTTTCCTCCCACATTAAGCTGACACGCCGGGATATAACTGGAATACTGTTAAAATCGGCGTTAAATCTTGTCTCAGTGGAAGTGCGTGAGTTTAGTTCAACGCCGCTTTGAACGGTATTTCATCGTAGGGTACCAACTTATGTATCCCCGTAAAGATCCGGGTAAGAATTGGTCTTCAGCAACCCATGCTTGTCGTAAGATGCGACTAATGGGATCGGATGTCATCGTATCACAATTGCGTAGATCAATTCTCATGATGTCAATCACTGTATTGCCTTCAGACCGCCTTCATACAGCTGCGTTAAAGAATAAAAGAAGAACTCCCAAAGGTTAACGTCCTTAGAAGATCACTACGATTATTCGCTGACCAAGGATCATTATCAGGACGAATATGAGATTGGATCCTGACACACATAAGGGACGCAACTCTGCACAGGCTTAGACTCCTTGGTAGCTTGAGCCCCCTTCAAAAAACCATTCAAGCTAAATCACCTCGTTGTTCAGTGCAGAATGCAATTATCGGACCAAGGCATGCATATTACATATGAAACAACGACATCCTGTCAAACAGCTATTATTACACAGTACGCAATGCATTCTGGGAAACCGGAAGTGACATACAAATGACCAGGAGGACAGTCCGTTCCTTGCGTGACGAAAGCAAATTACAAAAACTCTAACAATTAACAAAGAGTTTTCTAATCAAAGAAAAATAGAGTTCAAAGAATTTGACGGACTGTTCTTATTTGCGTCTATACAATTCATGGCATCGTCATCCACCATCCTCAGGTGCGCGCTCGAACATATAAAGCACTCTTTGCAAAACCATGAAAATTTAAGAGAAAGCTTCATGTGCAGATATCGTCTAGATTCTAGTAAGATCCAGACTCTCTTCGACTCCGATACCCTGCAGAGGGTGAACCGGATATTTAAGAGATGTTATATCAAAGAACTTTCCTGGAACTTTATGTTTGCGCGTAATGAGAGGTTATGTAAGGTAACGACCTTGTAATCACTACGAGTAACACTATGGTCTCAAGATCCGTTAACAATTCCGAAAAGCATAATCTGCGCATCCTTAATACTCGGTACTTAAGTGGTTGGTTTGTATTAAAGGAGTCCCTTGGTTTCGTGCGACCTACGAACGCTACACAGGTTCATCTCTGGCATCCGAATTGCGATAGAAACATGTAAGTAAATGGTTAATAAAAAAAATAATACGACCGTTAAAGTGTTAAGCCGGTCTGCAAAATAGATAGTCCTTTCCATACTGCTCGTCTTGTGCGCAGCGTACAGTGCCCTGTGACTTATTGGTTGTAAAACGGTGATGAATTGATCATTACTGATGATGAACCCCATGGTGGAACGTTCTTTTGCTTGATTCTCGTCAGCCTGAGCAAATATCAGAAGGCAATAGGTTTGTACTCAACTCCACATAATATTGGTGCTTGCGTTTCATATAACACACTTGGCCCTGAATTACTACTCGTTGTTCTGAAGCACTGCACTAGCGGGTTTAGCAGACCGAGTGAGCCAGACCACAAATGCCACAAACATATGCTATAGTGTTTATCATATCATATTTCTCAAATCATACACTGACATTCTATCGAGAAATTCTAACGTGTTTTCTTTAAGCCGAGAATAACCCAGTGGTCTATGAAAGTACAACGATCACCTCTTCATAGCTAGTCTGAACTGCCGCGTCGTGCTGCTTCCATCTTCCCCTGCTGCTCCGGCGACCAGTGTCAAGGCAGATTCAGACTAGCCGCGTGTCCCTGTTCACCGTTTAAAGCAACATTACAAACCTTATGTAATCATTGTAGAAAGAACAGTGATTTTTAGAAATGAAACAAATGTTATTATAGAAATATTAGATAAAGCTGTGAGTTCATATTTTTGGAAACTGAAGATGATCATTATCATTATATAGGTTTAAATGTTATTTTCTTTATGAACGTCGTTAAAGAAAAATCCCATTTTGGTGTTTATGCATATTTTATTGCCGTTTAAAGCAACATTACAAACCTTATGTAATCATTGTAGAAAGAACAGTGATTTTTAGAAATGAAACAAATGTTATTATAGAAATATTAGATAAGCTGTGCGTTCATATTTTTGGAAACTGAAGAAGATCATTATCATTATATAGGAGGTTTAAATGTTATTTTCTTTATGAACGTCGTTAAAGAAAAATCGCAATTTGGTGTTTATGCATATTTTATTGCTGAAGACATTTTCTCAAAGCAAATGTTGGCACTTTCGGTCAATTTAAAAGGGAGTTCAGTGCTTACTTTATGGATCACGTTACGCTTGATATTTCAAACGTTTTAACTCAAAGATTAGTTCGGAATTTGTTAGTGGAAAGGAACGGACGGTTCTGTGTTCCTTGTCCGAGATTCCATTACTGTACTGGATACGCGCTTATATAAGTACATCAAACTACGGTTATAACGAACTTAAAGGGACTGCTAATTTTAGTTCGTTATAACCATAGTTCGGTGTAAGCATATATACAGCATAACTACAGCAAATAGTCGGGACAAAAAAGTAAGTTCGTTATATCCGTCAGTTCGTTATAAGCGTGTTCGTTATAACCGTAGTTTACTGTATATCATTCCCATAGTATGCTGGAAGGCATGCATTTACCATCGTTTGACCAAAACAATTGTCCACCCAAAAAAGAAATAAATTGAAAAAAAAACCACCACATTTATTTGACAACATTTTACACCTTACGAAAATAGAAAATCGAAAAACTAAATACACACTAAATCCAGTTTAGGTTGAGGTCAAATTGAAGTACGCTTTCCAGCAAAAGCTCCAACTGAAATAGGTATCAGGCAGCTTAATTGTTTTATAGATAATGTGCTCCGTAAATAGCGAACCTCTTCCTTGAGAAATGGACCGCAAAAATGAGGGAGTGACTTTGATAAGCATATCAGTTATCACGGAATGTCAGCTTGATGTGCGACGAAATATTGAAGTGATGCACGTAGGTCTTAGTCGTTTGTAGCTTTGGTTAAACCCACGAGCTGACGAACCAAGAAACATATTCAGGGCTAACCGGGATTCGAACCTACAACCATAGGTTTCTGGCACGCCCAAGGGACGCAACTCTGTACAGCGACTTGCGGCGAAGACTGGGCCATCCGTGTATCCAGCCAAAAACATATCAAATACCAGACGTAATAATCAAGGATTTGATGGGAAAATACCTGTTACATGGAAAGATGCGTGTGTGTGTGCGTGCGTGCGTGCGTGCGTGCGTGTATGCTTGTACTAGTCCGGACTAATGGCAGTTTTATAGTACTAGCCCACTGAGATACCATACACAGTTTAACATGGATACCCCACTCAGACACAGTATACTGTCGAGTGCTGGGTGGGGTAACAACAAGTACCATTCTTTAACGTCTTTTGGTGTAGCTAAGCCAGGCATCCAACTACCGGTGTTTATCTCTCCTGGTCTCCTGGTAGACGTTCTGTCGTACTATCACAATACCATAAACCTTTAATAAATACTCCTTTACGTTTCTTTTTTAAGTAATATTAAAAAACCAAATGCTTATTTCCATACGTAATTTCATTTTGAAGAAAATATATGACAGAGAAAACAAACATTAGCTTGAAGCGCTCATAAATCTTCAACTGTCCGCAACCCAACATATAGAGGTTAGCTTATTTCGTATTCTGTAAATTATTGGGTTCTCCCCACGAAACGTTTAGACTCATCGTTACAATTCACCTTTTAAGTCCACATCACTGGTATTTTGTGATTACTCGCGTTAATGAATAGCCTCTCTCGAAAGACTAAGAAGTGTGAAAGTAAGGTAAGGTAATTCTTTTGCAAAAAAGTATTGCCAAATGAAAGGGGGTATGCAATTCTTATCTAATTATTGAGTTTTATAATGTTTTTTTTTTGTGCCAATGCTACCAGTATCTCATCTCAGACAGTGTTGGTCGGTTCGCGACTCGGTTGAATTTGTATCTTAAAAGAGAAAACATCTGAACATTAGATAGGCAATCGAAAACGTAATTAGTGTTGACTTTTATTTCATTTGCCCTGTTGGATCCTTAAGATTAGTCTCTCGCCATTGCTTCTTATGCTATTTTAGACATAGTAGCCAGATATTTTCAGTATTGTTTATTGGAACATCAACATACAAACAAATTTGATTAATAACGTTTTCTTCCATTCACTCAGAGAGTCTGCAGATATAATTAATTCTTATCTATCTAATGGCAGTCATAGTAAAAATATCACCCGTTGAAAGATTCACTAGGCAATATAAAATGCAAATATGATTTTCTAATCGCTGAATCAAAGTGAGTTTGTCAGTGAGGCTCTGTGGATCTGAAATCTTATAAAGTGCGCACCTGTTTGAAGGTTAGGTCAACACGAGTTATCTCCCTTATAATTCGATGCGAAACTAGATATTTCCTACTTCTTCCTTGTGGGTTTCTCGCTTTACTAAAAATGTATCTATGTATGATAAGATATTGTCAATATAAAATATGGGAATTAATTTGTGCTTGCGTCTAAATTAGTTTCAAATTGCAAGAAAATACGAAGAGGATGTGGGTCAAAGGTCATCCATGAATGGAGGATATTGGCGCCAATGTTATGAACAACAAACTTTGTACGCAGCCGATCCATCGAAACATAATGGTATGTCCTTTATTGACGAAAAGACATCGAATATTATTATATGACGTTTTTGTAGGATATTTTCTAACTGACTGAATTGGCTGTTTTATCCATAATCAAGAAATGAATGACAGGCCTTGTCAATGTTATTTGGAATAAAGTCAAGATATGATTGAAATATGCTTCCTATTTCTCCCACTCAGAGAATATTTATGTTTTCATGAACTATTTATGCAGTTTGTGAAGCCATAGCGCTTTCGGCAGAGACAAAATTGTGTCTATCTCATCCTTAATCCAATCGTGTCAATAGATTGGGAGATTGACCGGGTGTTCGAAGCAGGCGACAGTCAAATCAAGCAGACCTCGTCATATTTGCAGACTTATTATTTTCACACACACTTAGCCTACACATCTCAGCTTCACATTTCCGATCACATACTCTATTCTGGGCCGGTGATTGTGTTCATGTGGGACTCCTGCATAAGGACGCCAGTATATCTGACCAGTATATTGACAATGACTTATGATCAACATGATCAGTGGGGATACATAGTTTTGATGTCCTCAAATGTTGATTTGCCCTCAGCAGTGATTGAACTAGGCCTACGAGGCCGGTGCAGTTTGCCAGAACATGCTTTTGCGTTTCAATATGGGGAAACCCTAACACAACCCTTATCCTAATCACAACTATTGAAGTGAACATGGGGAAATTAAATGAGAATATGGACTATTTTTGTAATACAACTTACTCTGATAGATTAATCTAGTAAACTTGGACAAAGAGGGTGCAACCTTTGTTCAATGGCTATGGTAGAAAATGTAAACAGTTGTGAAGAGTGAGTAAATATTTGTGAGATGAGATTACTGCTGACACTTTGCTGTACCTTGTAAGTAGCACCAATGTCAATGCCACAATTTCCCACTTCTTTTAATAGATTACATGTAACAAGTTCTCCAGTGTTGGGTCCTCTTTGTATCCATGGGGGCGGTCGGGTAGCCTAGTGGTTAAAGCGTTTGCTTGTCATGCCGAAGACCCGGGTTCGATTCCCGACATGGGTACAATGTGTGAAGCCCATTTCTGCTGTCCCCCGCCGTGATATTGCTGGAGTATTGCTTAAAGCGGCGTAAAACCATATTCAGTCACTCACTCACTTTGTATCCATGTTACTTTAAGATAAGACAACACTTTATTATCCCGAAGGAAATTTGTTTTACATTGGATAGAGACAGATTTTAATAACAAATGGATTAATTACATGACTTGTATAAGACTGATATTCACATGTTGTTCTTGGTAAATAAGGTTATAACTGTATAATACCAGTATGTAGACAATGATAAAATATATAATTCATATACAACAATGTACAAACCTTCCTTCATGGTAAACTTTTAGAAAGTCTCATTTATCATGTAGGTAGGTCCTAATATTTTAGTGCAACATAAATTATTATGTAAGTATCTATGACTCATATCGAAGCTAAATGTTGAATAGAGATTACTGATAGCCTTTTTTTAGTAAATATCTATATTTAAAGTTTCTATAGCAAGCAACCTCACTGTGATCAGTGGTATCATTGGCAGTTTTAATTTTTCTGTTGTTGATGTTAATGGGACAGGATGTCTACCGTTCTGAAGCTTTGTTTGTAAACAAGAACCAATGACCCCTGAGCATGCTCTGCTCGCCTACTTCTGTTTCTTCTCCAGTGACCAAACCACGGTGTAGGCTTATCACATGACCAGACATTTCTCGTGTTTGTAAACAAACACACTTATTCTTAAAAAAGAACAGACAGGCCTAATGAACATGATGAAAGCATTTCGGTGTGCTTTTCATGTTGTTTTGTATTGTTATATGGATATACTACCACAACTGCGACAGTGAGGTGCACAATATAGCTTTACAAATAAACATCAAAGTGACTTTATATTGCTAGCTCTCCATTGTGCTTTGATGACTGGACGTGGAGAATAAATACACAAATGGAAATAGTTTTTCACGTTTAGGAGATATTTTCTCAATGAAAGTTAAATATTTCATTACATATATTTATTTAAATGTGTAGACTTGTCCAAAATGAAACAGATGAAAAGCCCACATGAATGGAATGTGAAAGATGTGACAGGCTCTCAGCTGGACGCAAGGAACTCTGGGTAGGAGTGATTGGCTTCTTATGACTGAGGCATATTATTTATATTGTAGCCTTGGCTTTGATCATGTTGATAAGCGCTGGCTTCTAATCTGCTCAAGCTGGCAGTTTGTATTTTATAACTCCACCGTAAGAGAAACACATATAAGCTTTCTCCTCGACATTTCTCCTGTTAAACTCTGTGCAGCGCTTGCGTGGTCGGCTTCACTGTCCAGAGCTCTATTGTTTTGGTTTGAGAATTGAATTGGGCATGTGACATCACCCTCAGAAATTATTTCTTGTATGATTTAAAAACATACAGAACAGTCAACCATCTGTCCCTTTAATTATGTCAGTATGTTGATAGGCATGATTGATGTATGTTGGATGATCTTGCAGAAGGTTTGGTACCTGAAAAGCACTGTGTTGCCATGTTAATAACTTCAGACTCTGTGTATCCCACATATGCCAGATATGTTCAGCCGGGGATTTATCCAGGATTCCAACTGAAATTGGGAAATAATGTTCATCTTGTTCAAATTTGGGGATTTTAAAGGTCTTATTTCGGGGGCGGTCAGGTAGCCTAGTGGTTAAAGCGTTCACTCGTCACGCCGAAGACCCAGTTTCGATTCTCGACAGGGTACAATGTGTGAAGCCTATTTCTGGTGTTCCCCGCCGTGATATTGCTGGAATATTGCTAAAAGCTGCGTAAATCCATACTCACTAACATTTCATTCAATGCAGTAATCATGGTAATTGAATTTTTTTTCCTTTTCCTCTTTATTGTTCCTGATGCTATTAATTATCAGTGAAATATGAGTCACCATCAAAAGAAAAACAATTGTAACATTAAATTGAGTAATTCCAATTTGAGATTTGTAACTGACATTGTGGCAGATTTGGGCCGAATGTCGGCTTTTGAGCAAATCTAGATAAGTCCTTGATAATATTTAAAGATAGCATTTGTGTCTTGTCTCTGATCCCAACATGGGCAGTGATGGGGGAAATACTAATGTAGTTTCTTCATGTCATAGATGATGACATTACTACAGCTGCTGTGATATGCCAGATTTCTAGGACACTTAATACAAAAATGTTGGAAGACAAGATTGAGGTGAGTATCTCTCTGCTTAGCACGCTTTGAATATGAATTCTGGCTTCTATCATGTCTATCATGACATTCAATAGCGCCTGGCCCTAGGCCAGTGACAGCTACATTTTGTGTCAGGCCAATGGTTTCAATTTTGTATGGGTCCTTATGGCCTGCAGTTTATTTACTTGTCAATATATCTGTCATGTTGAGCTGCAGTTTTTGAATGAGGGAGCCTGAAGAATTTAGTCAGGGCCTACAGGTTGCAAAGCAGTGTTTGAAATTATTTTAAAACCCCAAAAGACAGTCAGGCAGGTGCCCCATGAGTGTGGCCTGCCCATCTTCAAAGTTACCATCCCCCATTCAGACATTGTAAATATTGAAGATGAGCGGAAAAAAGAAGAGACAAATCTTGATTCAGTTGAAATAATGCAAACAATTACTTAACAAGGAATCTGCAAGGAATTATAATAAAACTGAATCCGTAAGTGAGCATTAGAAATTGGCACTAGTCCTGTAGTCCTTGCCAAACTGCCCAATAGTTAAGGTATCATAAGGACAAGCAGAAATTTGCCATTTTTAAGGGTTTTGCTATATGTTATCATCATAAGGACTAGTGGACTAAAACATTTAGTTTCTACCACTGTTAAAATAGTCTTGATATTATCTGCCTGACAGTCAGAGCAGGTAGAGGAAAGTTGTGGGAGGGCGGGCGGGCGGGCAGTTATTGCGGACACTGTTCCAATGTCTGTGGGTCCTAATGGCAGCCTGGCAATTTTCTTTATTTCAAAAACTGCTATCATTGGTTACTTACATTGTGATAATTGAAACAAGAATTTAGAAAAAGGTTATGCATCAATGTGAGATTCATTCATTCATTCATTCATTCATTCATTCATTCATTCATTCATTCACATTCATTTTCATTCATTCATTCATTCATTCATTCATTCATTCATTCATTCATTCATTCATTCATTCATTGAAGGTTGCAGGCCAGAACTGGTCCCCAGTAATGTATGCTTGTTGTCTGAGACAACTAGCATGGTTTCTGGTCATCTGTTGATTACGATCCATAGTACGACAACAGCATTGGGACTTAACACTGAATGTGATGAATATTATCAGCTGATTTGGCTTGTCCAGACTTGATTATTTGCAGGCCAGTGTTAGTTGTCTAGAATTTTGGGACCGCCTCAGTGGCCTAGTGGTAGAGCATCCGTCCAGAGAGTGGAAGGTCCGGGGTTTGATCCCCGGTCGCATCATACGAAAAGACTTTAAAAGATGGTACTTGTTGTTACCCCGTCTGGCGCTTTGCGTTAAGGGGCGAAAACAAGGTCTGGGCGGCTTGGAGTCACTAGGCTTGCACTATAAATCAGCGTCAGTCCGGACTAGTACAAGCACACACAACACACACACGGCGGTCTGTAATCGAGTCTGACAATCCAGACAATCCTGTGATTGACATCATGAGCATCAATCCCCGCTACTGGGATACGATGACATGCATCAACCAAGTCAGTGAACCTAACCACCTGATGCCGTTTGGTGCCTCTTACGACAAGCATAGTTGTCTTTTATGGCAAGGATGGTTTGCCGGATCTCAAAAATCGGTGTGAACTAATCTTGAAATTGGATTAAGATGTTAAAATGTTTTTACCAAACTAATTTTCTCTGAAACCAGTGATTTGTCCTGTTGGCTATGTTTGGCAAGCTGTGTTTCATTCTTTTGTTATTATTCATTACAATGTGTGTTGTTGACTTTCAGTGTGACAAGGCCACCAAGGCAGGGGTTGGATCTCCACAAAGCTCCATACTTGATTTTTTCGTTTCTCCAAACAAGAGTAACGCAAGCAAAAAGCAGAAGGAAAGGAGTGAGCCTACTGGTTTACAGGTGGCTGCAGACGAAGTTGAATCTTCGAAGAAGCAAGAGACGACAAGTTTTTTTAAAGGTCAAAGTCATGATAACAACGATAATTTGACTGCTGTGGCAGATGAAAGTAGTGAAAGTGTTATTTTGCTGAGTGATGATTCCAACTCTAAATGCAATGGTCACGTTACAGAGACAGAGTTGTTGAATCAGTCGGGCGTGTCGAATAGAAGGAAGAGTAAACATAGAGAGGGAAAGGTTGAGAAGAAAAGTAAAACCAAGGCATCGGACTGTGCAGAAGTGGACAAGTCAGACAAAGACAACAACAAAAAATCCAGCAAAAAGTTAAATTTACAGAGACAGAAATCTGTGGAAACAAAAACCGAGGATGTGACTGCCTCAACACCTATGGCAGATGAGACCAAAAAGCTAATGGACGATTCAGAGTCTAAAGTTACAGACGAAGGAGAGGCTTCCAAGAAGAGGAAACGTAATGACAGTGATGATGCTGAAAGAAAGCGGAACAGGACCAGTGAACCGACAGATGTGCCTGCTGATAAGTGCCCATCAACAGAGATGTCGTATGAGGCCTTCATCCAGTCCCTGTCCCCAAAAGGATGTAAAGACGAGGCAGCAGCGGAGGAGGGGGATATATCGTGCCAGGACGAGAAAGGGGATACATCGTGCCAGGATGGGGAGAAGGATACATCACATCAAGAGGAGAAGAGGGCTACATCATGTCAGGACGAGGAGGTGGCTACATCACGTCAGGATGAGGAGGTGCAGATCCTCGAGGCCAGTCCGGAAGATCAACCCACAGAAGTTACTGACACAAATAAATCGCGAGATTCAAAGAAGAAAAGAAAGTCTGCCAAAGCTTCATTATTCAAGGAGGGTTCTGAGACGAATGTTCAGCCTGTGAAAGATGACTCAAGTGGGGATGATGGAGAGAAGAAAAAGACTCCTTCCATCCTTAATTTCTTTACCAAGGTGAATCCTGATAAGAACACCGAGCATCAGGTGGTGACAGTGATGGCTGATGTGCACCACCAGCCTATAAAGGAGAACGGTAACTCGAAGAAATCACACGAGGAACAGTCAGTTGCTTCACCAATAGTGTTATCACCCAAATCTCCCGGTGTTATCAAGCTAGATGAAGATATTGAAATGCTGAGTTCAGAAACTGTGGAAGAGATATCCACAACTAAGACTAAGAAGGATAAAGCCTCCAAGAAAGGTAAATCAGTAGATAAAGCTTCATTAAAGACAGAAGTGAAGGTGGAAGAACCGATAGAAGAAGTTACCATTGAAAAAGTGGAGATAGCACCCAGAAGTGCTGAGGTTGATGCTTTCCTGAAGAGTTCCGATAGTCCTGCTGTGCCAGCCAAGTCGGCCCAGGCTACTCTCAGCTTCACAAAAACTGGCCTTAAGGCAACCAGTGCCACCATCCCTTCTACCAAGACTAGAATAAGGACACAGCCTGAGGGTAAATCAACAGCCAAGATTCCCACAGAGGAAGGTGATATAAGTAAAGTTAAGCAAGTGAAAAAGAAACGAGGAAGGAAAAAGAAGGATGACAAAGGAAACAGTACGAAGGATGATTCTATGGTTAGCAGTGATGGCCTTGATAGTCCTAAGGAAGTGAGGACTCGTCGACCAAAATACCAAGTCAGCAGTCTTCAGTTCGATGACTCCAGACGAACGCCCATCAAGATGAAAATTAGGTATTATTGATTTTAAACCGCTTTCTTAAATTCATATTGATATGTATTATAGAAGAAATATACATGGCCACTAGTTTGTTTGCCAGCGAGTTTGGAGCGACTAGTGGTTTTCCAAAACATTCTAGTGATTTTCACACAAACCACTAGTCCAAAATGAGCATGGACTAGTTGGATATGACCAGTGGTGTCTGCCCCTGTATAGTGATCATTATCTAGAGTTATCAGAAAGTTACTGACCAATCTTGATATTTTGTAAGATATCCCTGCATACAGTGTTGCTTGCCAAACTTCAAAGCAATATCCCAAGGGACAAGGCAACAGAAGGATGACATTGCTTCATCCCTAACTTACTAAGCATGCTAATGCCCCCAAATATGTATCATAATGTATGTTGCCAGTTTCATGGCCGGCCTCAAGAGGTTACAGTGACCTTGCACAAGCATTTGAAATGAAGTTGTCTGACCGAAATGTCACTTTTGATTTTCAGATTAAAAAAGGCTAGCAGTGGTGAAGAAAGTGAATTTACTCCTCGCTCATCCAAGACTGTGAATAAAGTAAGCATGTGAATTGATGTTGTCCAGGGTTTTACACAACACAAAAAATGGAGAATGGACACAAGTAACAGTCCTGTGGGATGCTGAAAAGTTGTTTAGCTGTTTGAATCATTGAAAATTATATATCTAGGTTTAAAAACCGTGGTGTTATTTTGTAATAATTTCCTAAATTCACAGTTATTTGCCTTTGTATTTTGACATTGCACTCAAAGCAGTAATGTGAAACAAAGCATTTAGCCTCTTCCTCTTCACTGATCCTGTTGTTAGTGAAACATATGTTACCTCCACAAGGCCATAACATCAGTGATTAGTTATTACTTATAACTATAAATAAATAAATTGCATGCACACACACCAGCCGTGCTAATGGACTACTGTTGCCTGATTGGCTGATAATAGAGGTTGTGAAGCATTGTTGCATCTGAATGATGTCACTGATTTCATATTGTTGTCGTATCATGAATATAGTTAAGTTAAAATTTATTTATAAAAATTGACTTGAATATGTTTTTGAGTTCATGGAGTTATAAACATAGAAATGTTGAAGTCAATTTTAATCCAAGCAATTTGTAATTCCTTATTGGTCATTATTACTGACATATGCTGCAGACTGTGGACCGAACATTGGCCTCTGAGCTGGTCCTAGATAAGTCACTGCATGCTGAAGGCTTTTAGGATCCACATATATTCCAGCGTTAGAAATTGGCACTAGTCCTGTAGTCCTTGCCAAGCTGCCCAATAGTTAAGGTATCATAAGGACTACAGAGCTCCAGATAAGCTGCGTATCGGCGTAAAATACGCATCAGAAATGCAGAATTACGCAGTAAAGTAAAATCCAAGCATATCAAATACGCAACAAACATTACAGATAAGCTACAAAAATAAAACTTGTGCGTATCATCAAAATATTGTGAAGTAACCCTGCGTATTCGATTAGCAAATCAGTAACTTATTTTGAAATTATAAACAGGCATTCCGTCAACCTTTCCAAACTCCACGATGACAGTTACATCATGATCATTTGCCATCACACTTTCTTGTGGAAGTATCGTGGTATTTTTGAGTCCTATAAAGCTCTCGAACCCACACGACACCAGTTTGCAGGGACTAGATGAATAGTGTTTTTAAATATTTAACTTAAATACCCACATGTGTAAAAACTAGTGGGTAACAGAAATTTGAATACCCAGATAGAATTACTGATACCCAATGATTTTAAAATGCATGGGTAAAATACCCACAACACCAAAAGCTTATCTGGAGCTCTGGAATAGTAGAAGGGTTTTGCTATATGTTATCATCATAAGGACTAGTGGACTAAAACAGTTAGTTTCTATCGCTGTATTCATATATTCATCTTGTGCTTCAGAAAGGGCAGAAGCAAGCTAAGGCTCAACAGCTGTTGGAGAAAGCTAAAAAAGTTAAAAAGACGAGGAAATCCAAGGTAAAACCCCAGGCCAAGCGTAAACAAGAATCTGTAACGAGTGGAAACGACAGCATAGTTGACCTAGACAGTAGCACAGATGGAGGTGGCCGGCGTCGCAGTGCACGTTTGGCTGTACAGGTCGTACCGGAACCAATCACTGTGGAGGATGAAGAGGATGAGCCCGAAGAGAAACCTGTTCCAGTCAAAGTTAAGAAGTCCTCAAAGACACCTCTGAAGTCAAAACCTCGAGACGTTTCCAAAACACTGAAAGCCAAGGACAGCCCCCGAAAACTGAAAGCCAAGGACAGCCCTCGAAAATTGGCAAAGGATAGTCCAAGTAAACCAAAATCAAAAGGTATGTTCTGAAACATTGAGACCTATGTTTATGAGTAGGTAGCTAAGGCTTAATCATGTTTATGTTACAGTTGTATAAGTTCCAAGTAAAGAAAAAATAATGGAACCTATCCTATCTCACACTGTGCATCACATCCTTCTTCTCGAACCCTGTGAGGACATGATCCCAAAACAAGTTTCCAGCTTAGAAAATGCTTCACCCAAACATATCCTAGCCATAACCATAGCTACTATCACTAACAATAGTCTGTGCACTGCCTGATTCCTCAGCAACTTGATCAGGTGACCGCCTTACTCATTCTTTTTCTTATCGCCCTAGTTTGGTTTGTTTGGCAGAGAATTACATTTGGGATTTTAAGTTTTACAGAATAATTCAGCTTATGGTGAGTTTAGCATGGATAAGTATGTATTAAGTGCAAGAGAAAGTTTAAATAAAAACCGGACAATCACCCACACTCTAGTTGTCGAAGCCCTTGTACAGAGTTCTTCCGCTCTTAGTGAACATAGCTTCCTTCTGGACATGTGTATCAAACCTTGGAACATATCCTAGAAACTGATTTGATTGAAAAAGATTTTTTTAGGCATATTTTCATGTGACCTTTTTCTGTTGTCAGGCAAGTTGGCTTCCATCTTCATGGGCAAGTCAAAGTCGGAGGTGAAGTTGCAGGAACCAGAGGATCCTGAGAAGGTGCGACTCCGTCAGGCTTTCCTCATGAGCGATGTCCCTGAAAAACTGAAGCGGCAGGTCGTTGCTGTTGCTGCAGTCCAGAGCATCATGGAGAACACTGGTCTGCCCGAAATCAGTCACGTGCAGCAAATACCTGACTTGCGGGAAGGTACGTGTGTGAAATCACCATCAAGCTATATCTGTTGCATAACCCTAGGTAGTTAAGGTGCTGCTTAGACCTAGATAATAAAGTGGTACAGGTCATGTTTATTTAGTTGGGATTATGGGAATTAAGGCTTGTTTACTTTGATACCCTAAATTAAGTCATAGTTTACATAGCATTAATGTTAGATTAAACATTGTTTCAATATATAATTATTGAAATGTTTGGTTTATGAATTTTTAACGAGCGAATTTATGGTTTCAATATTTTGGTAATTTAGAGCATTGTTATGATAGTTTATCTTAATACTTTATGTATTATTACTATTAAGGTATATTTTATAGAAATTGGCACTAGTCCTATAGACCTTTCCAAATTGTCCAATAGTTAAGGTATCATAAGGACTAGTGGAAATTTTGGACTAAAACTGTTAGTTTCTACTGTTGTTGAAGGATTTCTAACAGTTATTTTATTTTTGTGCATTAAGCATCATTGCAAAACTTATAGCAGTGTCTGCTCTGGCTTAATTTTTCTTGGGGTCACTTGGACCCCTTCATCATAAAATTAGGGGTCCAAAACAAAAATGGAGGGGTCCAATTTATAGCATTATAACATAACATTAACAACAGAACACAGTGGTTGTGAAAAATCAGAAATCTTTTCGCAAAATATCAACAAACAGGCAAAGTGAGAGAAAGGTTCACATCAGGGCACATCCTGCTCTCATGACCAAGAGGTTTACATTAAGGTCAAACAATTTCTTAAAAGGAACATTTGATATTAATGAATATTATAACACAAAATTATCCATGTTAATATCTAACTTCATAAATGAAAAGGCAGTACACGGGTTATCAGCCATTGGTAAGGGGTCATTGTGACAGACATTTGTGAATGTTTTTACCGAGATCTACCAATGATTTGAAGTTATGGATTCAGTTAAGTTCAATGGCTGTTCTGATGCTACTGTACTGAGTAGTGAGTTCATGTCGTAACTATGACAATGATCAATGCGTCATAACATAATTGGCATATCAAACGTTTTTTAAGAGTATGTTCAGGATCCAGCATTTCCTTGATAAATCTAGTCAACATGTTTCAGGTGCTATAAATGTTTAAACATGTCAGTTACACTAATAACGCAGGTGCATTCAAACTTATTTTTGTGCGTCCAAGACGCAAAAACGCGCTCTTCATCCAACACTGTTATAGACATGGACTATTTGATAGTGTGTCCGCTGGGAAGGTCGATTTACAGCAGAGTTATACCAAAAGATGTTAAAAGATGGTACTTGTTGTTAACCTGCCTGGCACTCGGTGTTAAGGGAATAAAACAAAGACTTGTCGGCTCCGACAAGTCAGAGTCAGTGTAATGTGTCTGAGAAGGATATCCATGTTAAACTGCGGCATGGTATCTCAGTGGGCTAGGACTATTTAACTGCTAGGACTATTTAACTGGTCCAGACTAGCATAACCAGTCAGTCACACATGCATGCATGTTGCTAAATAAGTGCAATAATCTTGAATGCCAATATAAACCCCATTTCACCTCATCTGCAAAACTTATAGTATTTAATGCCCTTGATATTATTATCACACAAAGTTGAAAGGGGATATAGGAATGGGTGCTGTCCGTCCATCACATTTCATTTCCAGAGCAGAACTAAAAAAACATAGAAAAATATCTTAACCAAACTAGGCATATAGGTCTTGTGGTGAACTGGTGATTTTTGAGAAAGTTATTTTATGAGTTTCCATGGCAACAACTTTTACTTAGAATGAAAATGGCAGTAGTGCTCCTTTCCAGAGCAGATCTTGAAAACTGTACAATATTTCTTCACCAAACTGGGCACATAGATAGGTCTAATGGTAAATTGGTGCCTTTTGATAGTTTTGTGTATTTCATGCTTGTTTTGAGTTGTTGTGTTTTTGTTGTGACATGAAAAAGTCAGGAATTTTTCCGGCTAATAGTGTATGAACCAATTCTGTGGAATACTGTTTGAGGTGGCTTTAGACCCAACCTGCATACATGGTAGAACAAACTTATGTAGTGCTGAATATTCAGTTTCTAGATGACAATGATGTGACAATGAAATGCTTTTTTCCCCAGAAAACAGTGTGTGGAACTTGGCACCAGTGAAATTACCGCTGAGGTCGTCAGAGCCATTTCATCGGAGCTGTGTCATCAACTGGGCTGACCTTGGTAGTCACAGAGTAGTCTCCCCTGCCAAATCTGAACTATTCAAGGTAGGCAAGTGCATTCTAATTGCATTAAAACAAAGGACTTTCATTCAATGCAGTTATCTTGCTGTTTTTAAGGTGTCTTGTTTGTTTGTTGTTTAACGCCACACTCAGCAATATTCCAGCTATATGACGACGGTCTGTAAAAAATCAAGTCTGGACCAGATAATCTAATGATTGATATCATGAGCAATTGGGATTGCAGTCAGCGAGTCTGACCACCCGATCCCATAAGTCACCTCTTACGACAAGCATAGTTGCCCTTTACGGCAAGCATGGGTTGCTGAAGACCTATTCTACCCCGGATCTTCACGTGTCAAGAGATATCTTGTCTATGACACAGAAAACTAGGAGTAGGTCTGCCTGATTGACTTCATGTCTTTTTAACTGTTTTTCATAATGCTTTCACTTCATGTGTTGTGATCAGGATTTCCGCTGCCACATGGATCTGCCAGAGGGGGTGATGGATGAACTCCTGGGGGAGGTGGAGACTGGTGTGAGGGGCCTCCCAGTCAAGCAGATCTATGCTGACATGAGACGCAAGTTGGAGGAGGATCTTCGCTCCCAAGATCCAAGCCTAGACAGCACAGGTATTGGTGCATTAATTGTAATTCAATTGGTTAATCCGTACCACATGATGAAACAATACATTTCAATATCACCCCCAAATCATGTGACTGACACTGACCTCAAAAATTGATTTTCCATGAGAGTATTGATGTTGTCATGTGATGGATATTGACTTTCCCCTAGAAAACAAGATGATGTCTGGTCCTCAAATTTCACGGTTTGCAGCTAGGTTACTGTAATGAAACAGGATGGTTTAGAGGCTTCATAAACTTCAAGTGGATTTTGGTATAACAAAACGAAAGATTATTCTTGACGAGGTTAATATTTGAAAACAAGGACCCTCGGATCCGACTCCTTCGGCCATCTCATGCTAATGATGTTAAGATGGTGCAACTTGCAGTGTGTCGCCAGGCTGATTGTGCGTCACCTACTCAAGGATTGTTACTCGTGCTATTAGCCACCAGCTCATGCTGCCCAGAGTCGGGTATTTACAGGTCGTCATACTGCTGGAACATAGAGGATTGTCATAAAACAACATTCACTCACTACCTTTACTGTTTCTCAGGGACGTCTTCACAGCAGCCCACAGAGTCTGCCACGCAGGAGACAGGGGAGGAGAAGAAGAAGAAAAAGGGAAGAGGTCGCACGAAGGGAGGCAAGCTGAGTCTACCCAAGAAGTCAGAGAGTGTTCCTGCTCCTGAGGTCATCAGAGTCGGAGGTATGCGTTCTCCCTCATCAAACTCGTATGTCCTCAAAAGGATAGAGTTCTGGAATATCATTTTAAATGGAGTTATCAGAACAATGTTGTTTTAACATGTTAGGTGCCTAGATTTTACAACTGATAGCAGGTTTTGAGAGAACTCAGACCCCCTTTTGTTTAATCGTTGAACGAGGGGCTCCCATCCGCAGTGTGATGGCTAGAGTAGGGCTACTACTTCTGTAGGTACATGACCCTTTCTACAGAACTATGGCAGTGCTACTACTATAATAGGACCCGTGAAGATCCGGGGTAGAATAGGTCTTTAGCAACCCATGTTTGCAACTATGCTTGTCATAAAAGGCAACCAACGGGATCGGGTGATCAGGCTCGCTGACTTGGTTGATGCTTGTCATTGTATCCCACTTGCGTGGATCGATGCTCTTGCAGTCAATTACTGGATTGTCTGGTCCTGACTTGATTATTTACAGACCGTTGTCATATAGCTGGAATATTGCTGAGTGCAGCGTTAAACAACAAACAAACAAAAACTACTATTATAGGCCTATGTTAAAGCACAGGCAATAGTCGTTGCACTAAGATCCTTTGTGGAAGGGGATCCTGGTCCTTGTGATGCTCTTACCTTTACTACAGGTCTGGGTTTTAGATCCGTTCATATTATAGGACACTGACTGCTTGTCAGTCAAAATGTCCTGAAGATGTGTGCCAAATTTGGTAATGATGCAGATGAATATATGTTCAGAAATTGAACTATCAAAGTCACTTAGGGTACAGTCCATCCGAATCTGATCAGTCGGGAGTTTTGTATCATTCTTCTACAATGTATGGCAGAGATGATGTGGACGGAGCGCTACCAGCCCTCCCACTCGATGGAGGTCCTGGGCCACACAGCTCACCTGCAGAAGCTGAAGAGCTGGCTGCTGGAGTGGAAGCATCGCACTCACAAGGAGGCTCGCAAGATGAGGCTGCAGATGCTCAAACAGGCTCAACCGAAGGCTGTCGCCAAAGGTAAAATAGGCATTGAGCGTAGATAGTCAAGTGATTAAAGCATTTGCTTGTCACAAAGGACAAAGGCATGGGTTTCGTTTCTCTCTAGTGTTTATAATAAAGGGAGATCCTTCATATTTGCTCCTACGTTTATTTGAACTGGAAACCTCTAAACCTTTACCATATCACATTACAGTTATGACAAGGACCTCTGCTTAAGTTTGACTGCTATGCATGGGTACTGTGTGTGAAGCTCATGTCTGGTGTCCCCTGCTTTGATATGGCTTGAATATTGACATAAAACCCAATTACTTCTTCTCCATGTCTTATTCAACCTAAGTTGTGGTTCCTGTGTCTGCAGCAGCCGAGGAGGACAACGCGTGGTGGGGGGAGGAAGACAGTGACTTCGACATGGACACTGATGACAGTGAGGATGAGGATGACAGTCTGTGTAACACTATGCTCATCACAGGGCCCCACGGTGTCGGCAAGACGGCCTCAGTGTACGCCCTGGCTCAGGAACTCGGATATAAGGTGATACCCGTGGCCTGCAAGTTTAAATAACTAATTTTGAACAACAGATAGAAATACAGTCAAGTCCTGTTAATCCGACATGGTCGGTGGCATATGATTATGTCGGATTAACGAGTATGTTGGACTGACTAAATTAAGTAGTATCAACGTTCATGATCGAAAATCGGACAATGTGATGGATTACAGTACATATTCATTAGAATAGAATACTTAAAAAGGAAATATTTATGTTATGTTATATTATTAGAGGAATATGTTCTCAAATCATGCAACCTCGAAAAGCTTAACCGGCAGTGGGTTAGCCTAGTGGTTAAATCGTTGGCTCGTCCCACCAAAGACCCGAGTTCAATTTCCCCCATGCCCCTTGAATACAATGTGTGTAGCCCATTCTTGTGTCCCCAGCCGTGATATTGCTGGAACGTTGCTAAAGTGGCGTAAAACAAAACTCACTCACTCAAAAAGCCTAACACAGGGTATTCCAAACTACAGTTACGGGCTGCACGACTGATCCAAAATACTTTTGAAAGTGTAATCTTGAATGGAAGTCGCCAGTTTGCATCTAGTGCCACAAAGATCATGAAAGCTTCTTTTCTTATTGGCGAATGTTGACTTCCTGTTAGTCATTTCATTGGTCAGTCAAAGTTTTGCAAAAGGTCGTTCTGACATGACCTGTAATGAGATGTCCTTGCGGTAACTTAGATCTGATTTTAATGAGATTGTGATTAATCCTGTTTTGTGTGTTTAAAGGATTAATTGTTTGTTGTTATGCAAGTTTGGCTGTGTTCTCGTGGGCTGATGACCACGGAGTAAGCTAATTGCTGTGTCGGATTAATGAGACTGATTAATGAGTGATTTCAGCAATTCGTTGCAAATTAGGTGTGTTGGAGTTGCATGACTGTTGGATTAACAGGTCTAAACAGCACTGATATAATCAGTTCTCATCATTTGTGTCGGATAAGTCCGATTGTGGGATTAGCGAGTGTCGGATTAACGAGACTTGACTGTGTGCGGACTTTTTTGATTGTAGTTTTTTCTACAAGATCTCATGGGGACCAAGAAAGATGTGCCAATCGTGAGAGTCAACTAGATTGGATAAGGAGGTCAGCCTTAGTGACTTTGCTGTTTGCGTGTCATTGTGCCACAAAGACGTTAGACCCGGGTTAGGATTGGTCGTTAGCAACCCATGTTTCTCGTAAGAGACGACTAACGGGATCAGGTGGTCAGGCGCGATGACTTGGTTGATGCATGTCATTGTATCCGAATTACATAGATTGATGGGTCAGACTCGATTATGTACAGGTTTTCATGCAGAAGCTGGAATATTGCTGAAGGCAGAGCTAAACAACAGTCACCCACTCACTCCAAACTAGGGGCAGAATTGGGTAGAAACATTGCATTGTGAACATTTGAAGGTTTAAGTAAATATGATGTTTTACTGACTAGGTGATTGAGGTGAATGCCGCGTCGTCCCGGAACGGGAAGAAGATCCTGTCCAAGCTCCAGGAGGCTACCCAATCTCACCAGGTCGCCACCAGTAAAGATGGCAGCTCAAACAGCATGATGGCAGCCTTGACAAACTCTCAGTCAGGCAGTACACCATCTTCAGGTAAATAACACTGGGAGACGGAGAGCATGCTTCCAGGGGTTCAACCAGGATTCTAAACTAAGTGCTCTTGGCAAGCAAATTGGGGGGAAATCGTTATTTTGTTCAAAATTTGGATGTTACTTAAGTTCTTATTATACCCTCGACCTTTTTGGTCGGGGGTATATAGTTATACCAAGGTATCGTCTGTCCTAAACTTTGTCCGCACAATATCTCTTAAACTATTCGGTGGAATCATCTCAAACATAGTACATAATTATATGTGTCATATGGAGGGGTGCAGTCAAAAGAATTTTTTTTTTTTTTTTTTCAATTTTTTTATGAATTCTTCAAACCCTAACCCTATCCATTATTTAATTTGCAACTACTTACACACTAGGCGGGTCAGGGGTATTAGTGAACCACGCTCACTTTTGCCCTTGTTAATTTTAACATTGAATTTTGACATTGAATTTAACATGTTTGATGCAGTAATATATAACTAACCATAACTAACCATTAAAGTCTCTTTGTCTCTATTGGTCCTGTTATCAGTGAAATACAAGTTCCCTCAACAAACCATAACTTGAATTAGGAGATTTGTAATTCCAATTTGGGATTTTTACTGACATATGCTTCAGACTTGAGGCCAAATATCAGCCTCTGAGCAGGTCTAGATAAATCGCTGTGCTCCTCTGTTGGCTGCAAGTGCTGTTATAATTCATCAGCAGACACAGATCATGTCCCATCATTAAATCAGAAAAACAGCAGCTGGTATAGTTGATGATTGATCGGTTAGAACAAACTGATTATGACCATTGATCAATGATGAATCCCACAAATTCCCTAAACTGACTAAATGGTTATAGCCCTATTAGAAATATCAACCAAACGTCTCAATCAATGAAAATGCTTCAATCAATTCACCTTCCAACATCTGATAGGAGGCTCGACAGTGTTTACACTGTGTGTGGTGTAGCTGATCAATGTGCCTCTGTGAGCCAGCTGTGCAGAGAGGCAATGCTCACTTCAGTCTGACAGTTGTCGTGTGTTACTTTGGAGCTTTTCATCACAGATTTATCTGAACTGATACATAGAGTAACACAAAGTGATGTAACCAAAAAAATAACTTCTTGACTGACAGATTCAAATATGAAATGAACCCCCAAATCTAAGATGATGTTTATTTTCAAACTGTTTTTCCATACATATACATTTGGGAACATGTGGCGAAGTGCTAAGAGTTATGTCCCTTAGGCATGTCAGGATCTGGTCAGAAATCAGATTTGCCCTGAAAATCATCCTTGGTTTGTTTGCACCATATCCGGGTGGGCATTGCGAGTTAGAAACATCCCCAGCAATCACGGTCGCAGGGGGCATCCGAATAGATTGTGTGATCACCTTCAGTTGATTGCATTGCATTCACAGTTACCCATAGGGGCGGAGACCGCCTCCGTGGTCCTGTGGTAGAGCGTCCGCCCAGAGAGCGGAAGGTCCGACGTTCGATCCCCGGCCGCGTCATACCAAAAGACGTTAAAAGATGGTACTTGTTGTTACCCTGTCTGGCGCTCGGCATTAAGGGGCTAAAACAAGGACTGGTCGGCTCGGAGTCAGTATACTGTGTCTGAGTGGGGTATTCATGTTAAACTGCGGCGTGGTATCTCAGAGAGCTAGCACTATAAATCGGCATTAGTCCGGACTAGAACAAGCAGCCACACAAACACATACTCGTACATGCACGTCGCTATATAAGTGCAATAATCTTGGACGCGACGTTAAACCCAATTTCACCTCACCTCACCATAGGGGCGGTCTGGTAGCCTAGTGGTTAAAGCGTTTGCTCGTCACGCCGAAGACCCGGGTTTGATTCCGGACATGGGTACAATGTGTGAAGCCCATTTCTGGTGTCCCCAGCCGTGATATTGCTGGAATATTGCTAAAAGTGGCATAAAACCATACTCACTCACTCTTAAGACTCGTTCACATATAATTTCATTATTTGTAGCTAAGCCCGCCAAGAAGGACGCCAAGCTGCCCACGGCCTTCACCAACCTGTTCCGTAAGGCTGGCAGCAAGACCGATCCTGTAGAAGTGATTGACCTGGAGGCCGATACAGCAAAGAAGCAGGAATCGCCCACCAAGTCCAAGCGGAAGAGGAAACGAGAGAAGGATGTTGATAAGGGTAAAGGACTATAATGCTTCAATAGCTTTGAAAGCTCTTACTTAGATATTGGGGTGTTGAGGGCATCCCAATATCTAAAGGGATTAGTACAATGTGTGCAGACCTCTTTTTTTTGTTTATTACTCCATGATCACAAAAACATTGAAGTCATTTGTTGTAAATAAATATGTCAACAATAATAACTTCACAGCCTGATAATTTGATCATTAACACAATATAAACCTGTAGACAACAGTAGAAAGCAGTGACATTGTTTGGTGCAATAATACTAGCCCCGCCAATTCTGTTGTCTGGAAACAGTAGTCTGTTAGTGGGTGTGGCTTACAATTGCCGAATCACTTGCAATTTATTTTTTTATGAATATTATACGAATTCACACTCACTTCAAAATATTTATTGCAGTTGAGAAAACCCCCAAGAAAGCCAAGAAGGAGTTGAAAGCCATGCCGACCCCCGGGAGAGATGAGTCCAGTCAGACGGGGGGACTGGAACTGTCCACCACCACGCTCATCCTGTTCGATGAAGTAAGTACTGGATAAGCACTTTTGATCATTAAAGTTTGGATGTGTTAGAATGGTAAATTCTGATAAATTGTAAGTGTTTGTGCGGAAAGCATTGTGCCATAATCACAACAGAATCAGGCCAAATATGGCACTGAAACTCATGAATATGGGTTTCTGGGTGCCATTGTACAAAGTGGGCTTAGCACCGAGGTGATCGTGACTCCCTTACCTTAACATAGACTTATGACAGTTGTAGTGCCAGGTTGTAGTGTACAAGGACACCCTGTGATACCTAAGCGTATGTTTTCTGTGTTATCTGTTCTCACTTAGGGATGTTGTGTTTCAGGCTGAGATCAGCTTCGAGGATGACAAGGGCTACCTGCCTGCCATACAGCACTTCATGATGAGGACCAAGATTCCCATCATCCTCACCACGACGGACCCCAGCTTCAGCAGCCAGCTGCAGGCACGGTACGAAGGCCTCACCTTTAAACAGCCATCTCAGGTGAGTTGTGCAACTCCAACATACCTTTTACAGAAAACAGTGACCAGAAAATGTCTTATGTGATCATACATATCTGACACAATATGTGTTTTGCCTATTTGAGCCAATTCCAAAATGGGTTAGTTGGTAACTCTTTCTTCCTTTTTGTGTCAAAAGAGAATTATCTGATGATGGAAATGCAGTAATGTGTGGGAGTATAACAATGCATTGCAATTGATTATAGTTTGCTCTGTGATTGTACTACATCGATAGGAATTTAGAACCGCTGATTGTATTATTGATTGTATGCATAACAATCATAGATTTCAATAGTTGGAATGAGTTACAAATAAGACACAGCTTATGCGTCAGAAAACTACCGTATATGACCGCGTATAAGCCGAATTTTGAGGACCAGAAAAAAGATTCTGTAGAAAGGGGTCGGCTTATCCACGGGATACACTTTCGTGATAGTATTTTTCAGATCGTGATCTGTCAGAAACATCGGCTGAATACGGTCCGATAGATTACAACTTCCCGAAAGTTTGGAAGTTGCCACGACTAGAGCCATTATTCTTATAAATTATCAATAAAGTTATTATTATACACCAATGTTGTCATTATTAAAAAAATGGTATGCATGTTACTCCTTCCGATGATAAGTTTTCAATTGAATGTTCAAAGTTTATCGTTCTTCGTAAACTCTACAATCTTTACACGTAACAATATATGGAATTCACAGCTATAATATATAATCCCCAGATAAAATCGCCAATAGCTATTACGTACGTTTTGCAAAGTTCATAAATTGATAGTGAACAAGTGTCTACCTTTATTGAAAGAGGCAAATAAACAGCTGTATCGGCGAGTTATTCCGTTCGCCATTTGCAAAAACATGTGATCAGCTGTTACCTGTGACGTCACGAACGGTGACCACTGTGATTGCTTCCTGTTGTTTAAAGCAACACGGTACACAAGGAAATGAGCATTGATAATAACGGGCCGATTGGTATTGTCATGTTGTTTACACAAACATTTTCAAGTTGTGGGTGCTTAGCGATCGTGTTTGGGAGTAGGGGCTTAATTCCTTTGTTTTCGAGAGATTAGTTTAATAAACTGGAGAAGCCTGTGATGGTCATTCAATGTGTTCATAGTATGATAGTTTATTTAATTCAATTGGATTAACATACAATAGTGGTGTAAAGGGGGTTATAAAAGTTGGTATATTTTTACAGACTGACATTTTCATCATGAGTTTTAAACAAAAACGCCATGCTTACGATGCTGAATTCAAACTGCGAGTCTTCGCTCCAGCTGATATATTTTCTCACGGGTTCATAATTCTATATACACCGATTCACAAAATGGCGCTTGGTTGTTGATGGCAACATATAACGATCATTATGAGATTAAAAAAAAACACGAGAAACAGCTTCCCACATTATGAAAGTGGATGACTGGTTTGTTAAATCTTTTTTAGATATAATAATGACTTTTTCAATATAATTACAACGTTTTTCATCTTATATTTTTGAATATTTGCGAGTACCGGCACATGTCTTGCAGTCCGACTTCGCAGTGTTTTTTGTCTTTCAATTCCTGATTCGGCTTATCTGCGGGTCATATCATTTTCTTTCGTATTTCAATGGTCAAATTAAAACCTCGGCTTATCTACGGGGTCGGCTTATCCGCGGTCATATACGGTAATTACAGTCAAAATTCAAACCTACCGCGTGTTTATCAAGAATTACGACAATTTAAGATTTGAGTTACTTCCTTTGTACCTGTGAAGGTCGGGTTGAAACTGATTTTCAGCAACCCATGCTTGTTGTAAGAGGCAACTATTGGGATTGGGTGGTCAGGCTCGCTGAGTTGGCTGATATATACCGTATTCGACGTAATAAGCGCCCACGGCGATATTTGCTAATATATTGGCTCGTGAACAATCCCAATTAGCACTCTTTCCGATTGATCAATGTACACCATACTTATTTATTCGCTGATAATACGCACTCGTGTGTTAAATGCACCCTTAAGTATGGGCAATTAAATTCTGGAAAAATATATCTCTCCTATATAAACATTTCAGGCTGTCAGCATAAACCACGACATTTATCTTTCAACTCTGTTTTTTTTTTACAAAATATTATTCTAATAAGAGCCCCCTATTTCTAATTTTGAGAGCGCCCTGGGCGCTTATTATGTCGAATACGGTATACCATATCTCAATGTGTAGATCGATGCTCATAATGTCAGTCACTGGATTGTCTGGTCCAGACTTATTTACTGACTGGCGTCATATAGCTGGAAATGTCCTGAGTGCAGTGTTAAACAACAACAACAAATAGTGTTACTTCCCTTTGGTTTGAAAAGCAACAGGGAGGACAATGGGAGACATTGTCGGCAATACTTTATTCATTTCTGTTACGTTAATGATCAACATAAGTTGGTTTAATACTATTGCAATACTATTCCAGTAGTGTGGCGTACTATTGCAATAGTGACAACAGCCCCCATAAGTCACCCCGACTATTGTGACAAGTACTGGGCAGTGCCATGTATGGGGGAGTTCAAGCTTTGTGTGACCTTTCTTATCATATACAGCGTTAGTAACTAACAGTTTTAGACCACTAGTCCTTATAATGATAACATATAGCAAAACCTATAAAAATGGAAAATTGCTACTAGTCCTTATGATACCTTAACTATTGAGCAGTTTGGCAAGGACTATAGGATAAGTGCCAGTTTCTAATGCTGATATATGGAGTGGTAGCCTACTGGTTAAAGCCCATTTTAACTGTGACTTTGCAGGAATATCACTCTCACTCACTCACTCACTCACTCACTCATATATAATATTCTACAAAGTTTCAGTCCTTGTGACTTTATTTTCATGAATGTGCTTTCCTGTATCTTCAGCTGACAATCGCAGGACACCTACAGACAATCTGCCTGGTGGAACAGGTTAGAACTGGTCTGGACGAAATGCTGACACTGGTCAAGCTTCACGGAGGTGACATCAGGAAATGCCTGCTGTGGCTCCAGTACTGGCTTAGCTCAGGGGGCGGGGCAAGCAAACTCCACCACGCTGTCAACACAACGCCTCGCACAGTTCTACTCAGTGTGGATGAGAACACCTGCTCACAAGACTCGGACTCCCAGGGCACCAGTGTTGGCACTTCAGCTGTTCCTGATAAGGACGATGATGACTTTGTGGTGTCAAAGCCTTCTGTTGGGAGGAGGAAGAGGGTTTTGGATGATGATGACTCGTCAGGCAGTAATGTGTTTCCATCAAGATTATCATCCCAGTCGGACTCAGGCTGTTCCAGCCACCTCCCCCTTGTGCATTGTTTGAGACTGGAGAGTCTAGCTGGAATAAGTCAACCATTACCAGATGTTTTTGAAAAAGTGCTACAGTCCTATCTGAGGGTATGTTCCAATCTATCTTTAGCCATGTTTGAAATAATGTAAAGAATCCAAAACGACAATCAGGCAGGTGACCCACCAGTGTTGCCTAACCCATCTTCAAAGTTACCTTGATTCAGTTGAAAAGATGCAAACAATTACTTGAGAATCTGCAAGGATTTATGATAAAACTGAATCTGTAAGTAATTTTAAAATTATATGCCCGACTAAAGTGTTCATTCATTCATTCATTCATTCATTCATTCATTCATTCATTCATTCATTCATTCATTCATTCATGCAGCCCAGCAGAAAAGTCACCTGCTGCAGGCAGACAGTTATTTCGGTCATTGATCTAAACATAACAGGGGGGGGAACAGTCAGTTTCTCTGTTGAGATTTTTGGTAAATAATTTCATATGTTTGAATGTGAGCAGTTGTTTTTGTTTGATTGGTGTGTAACACCTCACTCAGCATTATTCCAGCTATATGACGGCTGTTCGTAAATAATCTGGACCAGACAATCCAGTGATTGACATCATGAACATCAACAAAGTCAGTGAACCTGACCACCCATTAGTCACCTATTACCATTATAAGTGTAGAGTGGAGTTGCCTCCCTTAGGTGTGCTAGTATATGATGATCATGGGTTTGAATCCCAGATTTGAACTGATTATGGCATTAGGGCGTTTGGGCAGCCTAGTGGTTAAAGTGTTCACTCGTCAAGCTGAAGACCCAGATTCGATTCCCGACATGGGTACAATGTGTGAAGCCCATTTCTGGTGTCCCCCGCTGTGATATTGCTGGAATATTGCTAAAAACGGCATAAAACCATACTCCCTCCCGCAAAGTGGCATTCAACCTAAACACTCGCTTGTAGGTCTGTTTGTTGAATTTACCCAATCTTAGTCCCCATTTTATTGGTAATGTGGACACAAATAAATATAACTGTCAAATAAACAAATAAAAATGGTTACTCAACACTCATTCCAATCTGTTTATAGGATAGATGTGATGATCAACTAACTGCAAAACTGCAAGAGATGTGCAAGAACCTCCACAGCATCGGCATGTCTTCGCTGTCTGGTAACCTGTTCCATCTCCTCCCCCTGCCGAAAGTGCTGCCACAGGCCCCCAGTCTGTCACTCGGCTGTACCGAGGCCGCATCGAAAGAAAACAAACTTTCACGGATACGCACAGATCTGTTTGACGATGAGGGCTCATGTGATGCCCCTGAAGAGGAGAAAGTAGTTGAAACATTGGAAGCTGTTAAAAATGATAGTGTTCCCAAAGAGCAAAAGGTTCTTAGTTCAAAATGTTTAAATGCCTTTTCTCAATATTATGACTCAATGTGCGATATGGATATTATGGGGGCGTGCACAGAGGTGTTTACAAGTCAGGAGTGCTATGCAGCTTCAGGGGTGGGGAGTGACTCCAGAAACAACCGAACAATGTCTGACTGCCCTACAATGGCCTTGTTGACACGCGAACACAATACTGAGATGAATCTGAGAAGTGCTAGGCATCTGTATGGGACCATCACAACAGCTGTTGACAGTTATAGAGACAGTCAAGCAGGTGACAAGTTACCAGATGAGGTAACCCTTCCTGTACCTGGTGGACGAACAACATTCAGCTTGCTCACATCTGAGCCAAGGTAAAATAATAACAAAGACACCAAGGCTGATAATAACATATACATGTCCCATGCCACTGTGAAATAATTGCGCCACTGTTCCATTCACTACCATCATTAAGTAATGTGAACCTCAGCAATGAATATCTGTACAACGCTCTTTCCTAGAATGCAAGTTCCGTTTCTTGGACCCCGATGACAGCGGTATATCCCAGTGAGGGATCACTGTATATTTTTTTATTCATTTATTCATTTTTATTTTTTCCCATTTTTATTGCGACTGCCAACCAAGGTTTTGAGAAAGAAAAGCCTTGACCTAATAAAGAGAAAAATTATGGCTGTGTAAAATCCTGACCAAACAGATTTATTCACAAGAAATTAGTCACTGAATAAGTTGTACTATGCATTTAGCAATTTTCTAGCTATGCATGCGGCAGCTTGTAAATAATCGAGTCTGTACCAGACAGACCAATGGTTGAGCAACGAACCGTTTTGTCCAGGTGTGGTATATGAAGGCTCTTATGTTGGTGGTACTGTGGACTTAGTCTGCCCTGAGATACATACAGGCCAGGAAAAAATGAATCTAGGGCAGTTGGAAATTTCTTGTTTCAGGTTGTCTGGGTCTATTAGGAGAACTCATGAGAATGTGTCCGACTCCCTCCCTCTGAACACCTACTGCAGTCATCGCTCAGTCCACATGGATTATCTCCCCTCCCTTAGGGCCATCAGCCGAGCAGAGCAACATCGGCAAATTGCCAAAACGAAAAGAAGGTATTTGTGACAGAACTGTGTTTTTATATAAATGGGGGCTTTTACTTTAATGATAAGATATTCATATGAAACATTATTCAGCTGTGCCAATGTAAACCTTATAATCCCAAGGGTACAGAGGTTTAGAAAAATATGCTAAAATTTTGAACAGGTCTGTTAGTTTTTCACCTCCATACTGATTTCAAATAAAAACAGACCAAAAAATTCAAAATCATGATTAATAATTCATGCCACACTTGCCCCTTCCAGGTATACCAGTAAATATAATAATTTATTTCACTTTTGCATTTTTTGTGATTTTAATGTATTTTGTAAAATTTTAGGTTCCACCACTACTTCGACAACATCGGTATGTCACTGAAAGAAACAAGTCTCAATGTCCTGTGTCAAACCTTCTCATGAGTCTTCATGAACAGCTTATAAAGGATTGAAGTTTGGGATAGTGCTGAGAAAAGATCTGTCTGTAATGCTCAGAGAGGTTGCTACGTTCTGTCTATAGCGGGGTCACCTAGAGTTTTTTGCCAGCTGTATTTGGCCCACTTCACATTCAGTGCATGACCATCTGTGGCGCTAGAAACTATCTCAGTAAAACAATCAGTAAAACACCAGATTGATAGCATTGTATTTCTGCTATCAGTGAAGAAAACCATTATGATACCTCATTAGTATTGGAACTGTCACTCTAGAGAACATGCTTAACAAGCTGTAGATCATACAGGTATAGATAGGACACTGCCAAAATATAGGACAGATTTTGAAGAGGTCATGAAAACAATGGACAGTAGTTAACTATTAAAAAACTCATGATATTATTTTTCTTCATTTCATGGAAACAATTTATTTTCACTTTTTCAAAGCAATATTTGCAGCTTTTTTACAAAATCCAAACTTTGAGGGGCTAAGTACAGACAGTGCAGGTTTCACACACGTCTGAATGGTAATATCTTCCAGGCATCAAGGAATCAGCACTGTTTTATTTTCTGCCTTGGTTTTAGTCTGGGCTGTGATGTAAATATGTACAAGTCCTGTTTGTCCATATTTATTTAAGAGATTTTTTGTTAAAATACTGAAAGTGTAATTTTAATGTCCTGTGTCGGTATGGTAGTTTTAACATGTTATTGTACATTGATTTATACGATACTGCATATATACAACCATGGAAGTGGCATTAGAAATTTTTAATATATTTTTATATGAAATGTGTGTGCTTCACATTCATGCAAGGGCGTTATTGAGTGTTGACAAGTCAGTTTGCCTTTGCTTCTAATTGCATGAACGATTTAACTTATATGCCATTGTAAGGCTATCTTAAAGTAGCTGGAATAGTAGTAGGGTTACTAGGATGGGTTTGTGCATGTGAACCTCTGTCTTGTCATGTTGACTGAACTGGAATAGAATCAGCATCTTGACTGAGCTGGGTTAGGAACAGCACAAGAAGTCAATTAATGTACTGTAGAGATACAGATCTGATACTTGCAGAGGCATTTTGCAGGATTTAGCCAAGAATACGGTCTTTCTGTGAAATATTTACTTTGCTGTCAGTAATTTTTTTATTTCTGGTAAAAGTAACAGATGTATATGATTTGAAGATTTATTCGATGATTACAACACAAGAGTAAATGTTCACCAAATGTCAGCCGTGTTTTAGGGTAATAATATTAATGACCACTTGGCACATCAGTTCTATTTCTTTGTGACAACGTTTTGTTTGTCATCAAACTGAGAGCCATGGATAGTAAGGTCGTGTCTGTGACCAAGTGGGGACCATGGTCAGAATATCACTGTGTTATTGGTTGTTAGAGGTGACTAGATTGGATCACGTGGTTGGGCATGACATCTTACCCTAACGAAGTGGCTCCTAATGTAACCCACTAGTTTGCCTGGCCCAGATTCAATTATTTACAGGCTGCCATGATAAAGCTGGAATATTGCTGAAGGCAAACAAGTAATATCCTTTATGATACCGTTTCCCAGGCTTGTACATTGTGTACAACTGTAATGTGTAATGGTCTAATTTTATTTGAAGGACACAACAAAATAGACGTCCAACCAAATACATCATGGGCTCCTAGTTTGTATGCAGGACTCAGTTCAGAAGAAGCAATTTGATTAGTTGTTTATTTCAAGCTCATGCAAGTAAATAAATTCATTGCATATTTAGAGTTAAGATAGCTTGAGATATAGACGTCAGATCCGAGATGAAGTTATTCTGATGATTGGGTTCAGGTATTTACCACAACAAAATGGCGACACTGGATGAATTGATCTATGAGAAAATTACTACCACTGTCCAGGGTTAGAAACTAACAGTTTTTGTCTACTAGTCCTTACAATGATAACATATAGCAAAACCCTTAAACCAGGGCAATTTCTACTAGTCCTTAGTATACCTTTACCATTGGGCAGTTTGGTAAGGACTACAGGACTAGTGCCAATTTCTAACGCTGCTGTCATTACTATTGATCACTTCTCAAAGGTGCAGTATTTGTCCTCACAATCAGGAAACATAGGTCATGATTTATTAATGAAAGCTCTTTGGTTTCAGCATTAATTTATTTATTTATGCAAAGCGTAACTCTTTATTTACCATCGCACTTCATTTGAGTGATCATATTCATAGTGACGTGTACAGTATGTGTGAAAAACATTAATCACATTCAACCTTTATCATAAACAAGTAATGTCATGCAAACATGACTGGAAGAAAATTCCCAAGAATTTCCCTAACTTGACCTTGTCGGTCAGCGTGGAGATACAGTATTGATAAAGCTAATGTCACATGAACATCTTGTGTGGAGAGAGTGATTGTGTATAGAAGAATGGATATTTGACATGAATAAAGTGAACAGATATGAAATGTTTATTCTGTGTTCTTGTTATTTATGACAGGGTTTAGTTTCACAATTATTTTATTTATATAGCGATATGCACGTATGTGGCTGCTTGTACTAACTAGTTTGTGTTAATGTTGCATTGTTGAGTTTGGTTTTATGTTGCTTTGAACAACATTTCAGTTTAATTATGACATTTCAGCTTGATATGGGAGGATAAAAAGTGATACGGTCTTAGACAATTACCAAATACCAGTGGGTATGGTGCTGACTACCTTGAAACATAATCAGGGCAACTAAGGATTCGAACCCACAATCTAGGTTTCTGGCAACCGGGCCACCAGAGCCCCAAATAGCTTTACGCCGCTTTTAGCAATATCACAGCGGGGGACACCAGAAATGGGCTTCACACATTGTACCCATGTAGGGAATCGAACCCAGGTCTTCGGCGTGACGAGCGAACGCTTTGACCACTAGGTTACCAGACTTCTCCACCCAAATAATGCATTAGGGAGCACCAATAACATGCTATATACTGCAAATGAACTTTGGTCCAACCATGACATCAAAAAGCTAAGATTTCACAAGTCGTCATTTATATTCCTCATGAAAAACATAACGTGGACAGACAAAATATTTGTTTATTTTTCCACTGTATGATACAGGCTGGGTCAGTGGACTGCAGCATGCATATCAATTGTACAGCAAAGATGTAACTACATTAGCAGTCAGCGATGATCAGGGGTTCTTGTTACCTTGGTTAAATCAGTAACAGCCCTGGACAAAGACTAGAGTTCCTAATCTTTAAGCATGATTTGATGTCTGAATTCCCTAGCTGAATTGCTCTGAGTGCATCTGGTGTTAAGTAGTCAATTGAAGATCTGTATTAACAAAATCAGAACCACTCAGACAATTACCTGTTTTACATACTTGACCTAATTTGATTAGCTCATGGCACAAACACCTATATATGCTGATTAGCAGCTACTCTATATTTATCTACAGCCCTGACTGAGGATATGAAATTCATGGCCGTGTTGAACATGACCTCTTAAAGCAATGCAGTCACGATCTTGTGATGTACACACAATAAATATGCATTAAAGACTGATTGTGTAGAATTTACAGTGTCAACTGAACCTATGTACAAAAGCAGGATTTTATGTACAGTGGTTAAAATATGGTAACAAAGTAACAGTCAAACATGCTTTCATTCACAGACAAATGTTCCTAAAACTCAAAATGAGAGATAAAATAATACATATATATTATATACTGAACAAAAAAGTTAGAGATAATGAATATTTTGGGAGATGTTTTGTAGTGAAGACTGAGCACACAATTTCATATGAAATATCCAAAAAATATTCATGATCCTGAGTCTTTTTTTTGTTCAGTATATTTTTTCAACAACTTCATATATTGATTGCACCAACTGTTGATCACAACAAACATGGTGATTCGTATTGCAATACAGTACAACTTAAAATACTGTATCGCCATATTATTACACCAATCTTATTTCTGTTCCATCACATTATTCGTCATGACAGCACAATATAATGTTTGATTTGTCCTAAGCTATCAACAATTCAGTTTGCACCATCCATATGCTTCAGCAACTGAAACAGGGCTGACAATATATCTTTGAAATAATTCATACATACACCGTTACAAAAGATCTAAAACCATACACATAATTCTTCAAATAAAGAATTGACTTATTCCACTCTCATCCTAACGTCATCTCCGTGTGAGACAGCATCCATCTTGAAGCATATATCAGTTTCACAAGATCATAATAGTGAATCCTTGGTTGAACTTCTGTTAGCAAACATTGTTTTGTCACATTTCTGTACTTATCAAGACAAGAATATTGACAAGCATGTCTGATATCACTAGTTTTCTTCTGGCACTCTGGACTTCAGATGAAAGATTGGGTGTGTCGTCCACAGACTTTGTGGGCAGCTGTGATATTAACTGAGAATATTGCGAATCTCTTTGTGTATATGACACAGGAAATCCACGTATGAGGCACTTCCATTCAGTCCCTTGTCTTCCACCAGGAAATGATTGAACCATGGTTCTAGTTTGTCCCGCTGGCGAATGATTGTCAACTGAAAATGAGAATTTAATATAATAGTCTACACAAAATCTAACCTCATCTTATTAAAAAGTTGTGTAACATCACTTTTTAATAATAATGTACATATTTTATCATATTGAGTGAATTATTTTGAACAGTATTTCAATTATGTAACGGGGATGTCAGTTTGATTTGTGAGGGAAGCTTACTTGGGTGCTGTACAAGTCACCATTAAGCGCCTACCTTCAGGAAGCGATTCCTCTTGCTTCTTGCTTTTGAAATAGTTTCACAGACCCGCCGTGAGATTGGGTTGTCCAGGGGCAGCAGTTGGCACTGAAGTACACGGAGGACAATAACAATTAGCCCAAAACAAACAATATAACCAACAATATCAATTCAACACAAGGTTAACAGATTGCATGTGAAGGAATGCTCAACAAATTGAGTTATTTTCCATTCTACAAAATAATTAGACAGACAATTCCCTTTTATATGGTATCCTTACTACTAATATATGATAATACCATTGAGTTATCTAAACTAGCCCAACATTAGCTAAGCCCTTCAATGTACCAACCGCAGGGAAAACAGCAAAGCCAAAATTAAGGGAGGGAATGGGAAGGGCACCTGGGAACGGCCATCTCACGATGCTGTCATGTGGATGCACATCACCTGCACATAGCCTGGTGCACTACACACATAGCCTGGTGCACTACACACACAGCCTGGTGCACTACACACATAACCTGGTGCACTACACCACCAGGTTTCTGGCTCTCCTCAATCTTGGCTCAAGTTGAACAATCAGGACTTGATCAGGACTTGACTCTCACCTGCCCACTAGTCCCATTCAGCTTACTCCAAGCCAGCGATCAGGATGGAAACAGTTCGGTGCCTACTGTGCTCCATAATTACAAATATATCCCCTGCACAGGGACCAATGTCAGGGGGCCCACACCTTCTCTGTGTCAGCTGCCACACCTACTATTGATGGGCGAGTTGAGATAACTCACTGGTATAAGAAGTAAGTACAGTAATATAAAAACAGTTCTCAGCACTACTGTATCTATAATGTTAAACATAATGCATGCACTCACTTTATCTATATCAATTTGAGCTGCACTTTGAACTCCAAATATCTTTTGTATCCAATCTGGATCAGCGTTGTGACCAATCCACACAAACATTGAAAGTCCATTTTCTGGAAGGAAATTTGAGGTAATTTGATGACATCACAAGGATAAATATATTAATGCAGTGTAGGCTTGAATAATACCTTGACAAGTCCAATCACAAGAAGTCAATGACAACATTTATGGTTGGTTGTTAATGCCGCACTCAGCAATATTCCAGCTATATCTGTAAATATCTGGCCAGACAATCCAGTGATTGACATCATGAGCAATGATCCATGCAGTTGGAATACTATGCCAAGCAATCAACCAAGTGACCAAGTCTGACCATTCCATCCTGTTAGTCGCCTCTTCCATTAAACACAGGTTGCTGGGGACCTCTGGAATCCACCTTGGTGGTTACATTTGAGAGACTTAATAAATGAGTGAGAGGGAGTCAGGCTTGGCACCACTTTGATCAGTATTTCAGACTTATTTAACAGACCAATGATCATGATCAGGGCAAATCTAGGAATTGATTCAATGGTCAGAGGATCCTGGTACACTAAGGGACACAACTCTACCCAGTGACTGCTGTGCCTTGAGCTGCTGGGCCACTCAAACCCACAGGACAGATACGACTATATAACAAACTTACCTAGTAGGTAAATCCCGGAATCCTGCAGTCGCTCATGTGAACAGCGGATAGCTGCTGGGTCATCGGTTCCATCCAAATCAATCTCATGCTACAAGGCAGAATAGATAAGATTGAATTAACACAACATACTTTTGGTACTTAACATTGTCATGTCAGGCAATCAGCAAATGATTTATGGACTGATACATGATGCAACACAACATAAAATAGGGTGTTGAATTATCAGGAGTTGTGTTTGAAATAAACGTTTTACTCTTCAGTATGGAGAAGTCCACTTACCAGTGGCATGAGCCGAGGGTAAAAGAAGACATTGGACGTTTCAACATTCATCGAGTTGATGAGGTGAATCAGATAGCTGCGGTCATCTGTTGATATCTCCGAACCTTGAATAATGGAAACATTGAATATTTAGAGAAAACAAATCAAACAAATCACAATTTTTCACATGGTTCACAGAATTTACGTCATTGTTGAAAAGTTTAATTAATTAAAATAAAATATAAAATGTGGATATGTTCCTGCACTCACTCGCTAAATATAATTCTTAATTGTTAGTACCGTATTTTCTTGAGTATAGTGCGCACCCATGTATAATGCGCACCCCCCTCTAGCGGGTTCAATATTTTGGAAAAAAAGAAATTTGAATATTATGCGCAGAAAATTTTTACACCGTACCCTTTCAGCGAAGTCCGGCAAAAGAACGGGTGCTGAGAAACTTCGTCAGTACAAATTCGAAATTTGAGATAAAAAATCACCAGACATGTTTATTTACCGTTTAAATAGTATTTATTGTTCTGCTAGGCATTGTTTTATATTTAGGGATTAAGATTACCTTGCGTATTTTCTCGTAAACTAAGCTGGAAACAGCAATCAGCTATACACACATTTTCTTGGAATCGACCGGTGATTCGGTCAAGACACACCCAATGATATAACTTTATAAGATTTTTAATGCAAGGATCGGCAACAATTGTATCTGAAACTATTTTATTTATCAGGAATAATATATTCCATTATTTTCTTAATTATATGCAACCTTTACTGAACATATTTAAAATAATAATAACCCTAAGCGAAGCAGCTGATCGCTATTCCCGGGTATTATTTTTTACATGGAACATGTCTGACCATTCACCGTCAAGGCTCACGCGCACGTGATCGCGAGAATTTCATGTTGACATAGAATCGTCAAACAAAAACAAATATGACTTTTAACGAGGCAAAGTATGTCATTTATGATATATGTATCCATTCTCTGTCAACTAAAGTTTGTTTCAAGGCATCAATAGCGGTATTCTGACCGTGGTTGCTGCTAATAACGGTGAGTTGTGCGATCTTCCAATCGCTTCACACACGATTTCGCCGAAATTAATAAAAACAATATTATAAGGAATTTTGAATAAAATCAAAGAAATAAGTTACAAACATTAGTCCAGATATAAAAAGAACACTTTTTATAGCCAGACAGTGTAATTACATGATTATTTTGCGTACTTCAGTATGGATTTGTTGACATGGTATTTCCGGTGTTTAGTGCTCACGGTAATGTCTTTACATGGGGGGAAAAAACATCCAAACTCATAATTCGTGTATAATGCGCACCCCCTTCTACACAGCTGTATTTTTTCGAAAAAAAGTGCGCACTATACTCAAGAAAATACGGTAACAGTTTTGGCAGGCCTATTTTCAGCTTACTCAAATTAGAGCTTATTCAAATCCTTCCACCTTTCAGGATACAAGAACCGAGACAGGTCTGTTCCAAGACCTTTGACAGTGACAAAATTCTGAACATTCATGAGTGCACTTACATTAATTCTAGGGCCTGTTACTTAATGATTCTGTCAATTATATGACCCATTGTGACTGAGGTTGTACTTAGGTTCTCTTCTGACAATTATCCCCATGGGGGCATGTCTTAATGTAAACGTTACTTATTAGTAACCAGAAATAGGATGTGCTGACTTACCTCCCTGTACCCCGTCACTCTTCAGTACGCAGTTAGCGTAGAGGGGCAGAAGCTTCATACACTCTGGCAGGATGAGTTGCCCAGCTGACGAGGGGCTCGCACAGTTCTTCCTGTAGCAAGCAAGGATCTGGGCTACCTCGTTCATCACATACTCACGCACCTGCTTGGGGTTTGAATTGAGTGTGCTCCCGATGGCTGAAAAGGAATTGCAAGCACAATAAGAGAATCGTAAATGTAGTTACAATTGGAATGAATAGTGCTGTCATATAATTTTACAATCTGGTAAAAGTGAACAAACAAAGCTTTGTTTCTTTGTTGTTTAATGCTGCACTCAGCTATAATTCATTATGGTAGCCGGTAAATAACTGAGTCTGGATCAGACAATCAAGTGAGCGATATTGTAAGCAACGTTCCACGCCGTCAGTGTAAGATTACAAGCAATCATTTGAGTCACCCAGTCTGACCACTCATTCTTTATGGCCAGCATAGCATCCCCAAGAAGTACAATTTTTGTTTGTTGGATTGTTTGTTGTTTAACGCCGCACTCAGCAATATTCCAGCTATATGATGGCAGTCTGTAAATGGGGTTTAGCGTCACATCAAAGATTACTGCATTAAATAGTAACGTGCTTGCACGTGTGTGTCTGTGTGTGTGGCTGCTTGTACTAGTCCAGACTGATGCTGATTTATAGTGCTAGCACACTGAGATACCATGACGCAGTCTATCAGTCCTTGTTTTACTCCTTAATGCCCAAAGCCAGGTAGGGTAACAACAAGTACCATCTTTTAACGTCTTATTGTATGACGTGGCTGGGGATCGAACCCCAGACCACCACCACTAGACCACGGAGGCGGTCCTGTCTGTAAATCATCGAGTCTGGACCAGACAATCAAGTGATTGACAACATGAGCATCGATCTACGTAATTGGGATACAATGATGATATGTATCAATCAAGCCAGTGAGTCTGACTACCCGATCCCGTTAGTCGCCTCTTACGAAAAGCATAGTCGCCTTTTACGACAAGCATGTGTTGCGGAAGACCTTTTCTACCCCGGATCTTCACGTTTCTCATGAAGTACTAAATATTACTATAGACTAGGATTACATTGAATTACGTACTGTATTTTGACAGGTAGTTGACAAGAACATCCAGTTCACAGCTGCGGAAGAGGTCTGCCATCTGCGTGCAGCAGTTGAAGGCGAGGTTGTGAACTCGTAACCGCCGCTGTCCACTCACTGTTGTGTACAACACCGCAACCTGGAATGTCAACACTTAATGAAAACGTTTGTCTGCTGTTTAACACCTCACTCAGCAGTATTCCAGCTTCATGGCCTCAGCCTGTGAATAATTGCATCCAGACAATTCAGTGAACAGTATTGTGAGCAACGATCCACACCACTGGGGTACGATGACACACAATCAACCAAGTCAACAAGCTGACCACCCCATCCACTTTGTCACCTATTACAACCAGCATAGCCTGTTCGTTGGGGGCCTGTCCCAACACAGAATGCCCACAAGGTTGAGAACATGTAGCAATACAGGACCAGAGTTTGTTTTGGATATCGCTGGTTCTTTGGATTACTGACAAAAGTTGTTCAGTGTCAAAACACACCATAACCCAGAAATGCTGCACAGATAAGACAAATTATTTGTCAATTGATAATCTAGGTTATATTAGTTAGGAAATAATTTACTCAAACAATTTTGATGAACTTGGGACGGGAAAAAGAATAAAACATTCCATCAATATCATATAGTGTCCGATTATCATTTTGTTTGTGTGCTGTTTAATGGAGAACTCAGCAATACTCCAGCTTAAGACAGTGGCACACATATAATGGATATTACGAGCAACGATCCGGGGCATCATTTTTACAATGATGCAATGATGAAGACAAACATGAAGCAAATCAGTACCTAGGCATTTACTTGAAACAAACTGGTAAAGGTGGCGAGATGTTTTCTTGTAACGTAATCATTTTCTTGGTTCAACATTGCATCGTTCATTTTCAGCGTGACATTCTCACCTGCACATAAGCACCCTCCGCCTCATTAAGCTTGTCGTCATGTTTAATATCAACATTGATGGACTGGTCACAATCTATGGCAGCCATTTCCACATCTGTTGTGTTCGACATGTAGAAGTTGCCAAAGAAATCTACAGGACGTATGCCTGAAAATGCAAAATAACATCACATACAACTATTGTCACAACCAAAACATGTTACTTTGGTTTCATTAGTACAATCAACCCCAGAAAATATCTAGGGGACTTGTGGTGTTCCAATTAATTGAAATAATCAAATGTTGACCTGAAAGTGAACAACCACGGCACAGCACTCAAGCTATATTCCAGTTAAGTGAATTATGCAAGTGGCATGTGAATAGTCACATCTGGACCAGACAATCTTTTGATCCCAGTGGGTTTATTGAGTGAGTGAGTATGGTTTTACGCCGCTTTAAGCAATATTCCAGCAATATCATGGCGGGGTGACACCAGAGGTGAAAGGTGAGGTGAAATGGGGTTTAACGTCGCGTCCAAGATTATTGCACTTATATAGCGACGTGCATGTACATGTGTGTGTTTGTGTGGCTGCTTGTACTAGTCCGGACTGATGCCGATTTATAGTGCTAGCTCACTGAGGTACCATGCCGCAGTTTAACATGAATACCCCACTCAGACACAGTATACTGACTCCGAGCCGACCAGTCCTTGTTTAAGCCCCTTAATGCCGAGCGCCAGACAGGGTAACAACAAGTACCATCTTTTAACGTCTTTTTGTATGACGTGGACGGGGATTGAACCCCGGACCTTCCGCTCTCCGGGCGGACGCCTTACCACTAGACCACGGAGGCAGTGGGTGACACCAGAAATGGGCATCACACATTGTACCCATGTCGGGAATCGCACCCGGGTCTTCGGCGTCATGAGCGAACGCTTTAACCACTAGACTACACGACCGCCCCAATGGGTTCATTGACACTGGACAAAAGGGAAAGGAGGTTGTCGAATTACAACAAGAAACCTTATAACACTCACCCTGACTAGTTCTGACTCGGAGAATGCCATCAAATGCAATTGGCCTCATCACATTCCGCTTAAGATCCTCAATGAAACGCTCTCCATCTATATCAGCCTGCACCATAAAATCATCTCCATATCAGTGGAATTAATTCATACATGTTAAGAAAATATTAAAATAAATACAAAGGAATAAAGAAATATATCACTCTGTTTTCTTTGATTTCCTACATTTGTGCAACAAACAACATGTAGTACATGAAAAGAACCTTTTATTCACATACAAATGTTTGGCGTAATATGGGGTCTGCCTCATTTGCCTACTACGAAGCCCTGGGGTCGTGGTGACCCAGGTTGTGTGAAATCCTGGGGTTGTTGTGACCTGGGTAGGAGGAATGAATGTCCTGGGGTCTTAAGGACCCGGACTTATGTATAAGTAAGTGGGAGGTATATATCAGTCCTTGGGTCCGATGACCCAGACGATCCAAAGGGATACGTTGGTCTTGGGTCGTGCTGACCGGACAGTACCTTGCTTAAGTAATGTTCTTTTGGGGCCACAAGCCTTCTATGCTCTGAGTAGGGAGTAGCATGTTGCACAGAACGAGAACACTTTCCTTGCATGTATGTAAAATAAAGGAGTGAATTTTCTTTCATGACATGTTACCACAAGTATATAACTTGGCCTGGTCCAGGCAAATCAATGGTTGACAACACGAGCATCAAACCGCCCCATCGGGTCATACAATGTAATTACAACAAGCATATGGTACTGTGGGCCGGACTCACAAGAGGTATCATCAGAAGGACTAGGTAACTACAAATAAGGAGAGCTACATAATCAGGACATACCTGGAAGTAACTGTACTTGTACATGTTGCCCGACGTGAGTCGACACACCTCCCCCATGGAGGCAATGTCTGTGTAGGCGTTGGGGAAGAGAAACAGATCCACACTGCAACCTGCAGCCACACACTCCTGCCCCAGCTTGGTGTAGAAGTTGCTGGAAGGAGTCAGGATAGCCTGGAACAAACATACACACGTATCAGGAACTGTTTGTTGTTTAGCAGCGTACTCCATCAATATTCCAGCTATATCACGGCCATCTGTAAATAATCAATCCTGGACAGGACAATCCAGTGATTGACATAATGAGCATTGATCTATGCAATTGGCATACAATGCCATGCATCAAGTGAATCCAGCAAGTCAGCATGCCTGACCACCCGATCCTGTTAGTCGCCTATTATGACAAGCATAGTCGCCTTTTTGGCAAGCATGAGTTGAAGACCAATTCCAACCCAAATGTTCCCGGGTTATCCCCCAAGTCCTCCTCCTCCATCTGTACATCAGTCTCACCTTCTCCTTCTCAGTGCCCAGTAGTTTTCTGTCATCTCTGTTCTTCAGTTTGCCCGGGGCGTCAGCTATGGGCAGCGTCGTGTGGAAGATGTACAGTTTGCCTGTCCTGTCCGCTGACCGCAGAGCATCTAGTCCAGCCTGGACAACTGGAGCAAACACTGTCTCTGTCTCCTTCGACTCGGCAAACATCACTGGAATCTGGGCAAGGAGACTGTAAAGAAAATTAATCAATGGAATTCAATGAAAAGGATTCCTCCTGTACACCGCACTCATCTATTATGTGTCATATGTACACGAATGTCAGAAGTTTGTCTCAAAGTACATCGATTTGACATTTGTCAATGAAAAAACATCAAATTAGTGATAGCCTCACATATGAGAGATTATGCCAGCGAAACACACAGGGTTTTACAGGTTGCTAAGTATTCAGGGATTTATCTAGGGTTCTAATGTAAGTGCCTTTGAAGGCAAACTGGGAAATAACTCATCATTATTTTTCAAAGTTTGGATCTCTGTAAAAGTCCTTCTTTTCTCAAAATAGGAGGTATTTTAACAGTACATTCATTAGTGTAAAACAATGCACTTGAGTGTCTTTATCTTCTTTAATAGTCCTGTTATCAGTGAAATACAACTAAACACTACAAAGTCATCATTGGTATAACAAAACTACATGAATTGGGAAATTTTTTACTGACACTGGCTGCAAGAATAGGTTCAGAAATCGGCCTCCGATCAGGTCTAGATAAAACCCTGGAATTGCACATAGTCAGTGAGGCTCACCTATCAATAACAGCTTCAGACTCGGATAACTTGACTAGAAATCCATCCAACAGGGGGACAAACATGTCATCCACATCAGACACAACCAGCATCTGAGGCTGGGCCAGTGTACTCTGAAACATAAATTGTAATATGTTTCACAATTTTTCATAGTCTTTGACTCTCGTAAAATTTTCTTTTGGGCTCTTTACACTCTGCCTGTAGTCCATATATTAACACCAAAATCTAAAGAAAATGATGCCAAGAGACAATTTCGAAGCAGCAGACTCAGGTGTTAAGGGCACAGACGACCAGTGATAATTTGTTTTCAGCTGAAGAATTGAGTGAACGCAGGGGCAACCTCTCACCTTAACATTGTAGAAGTGCAACTCCTTGTGGTATGTCACAAATCCTACCCTGATCTCCGACTCATCCATACCAGTCTCCCTGAAAATTCACATTTCACTTACTGTCAGTAACATATTTTATGTGTTATCAACATACAATGAACCCTATTAATGCAGACTTCACAATGAGCCCCATTCATCCAGCTTTCACAATTCCAATCCAGATTCTACAGTTTTAATCCAGACTCCACTATTTTAATCCAGACTCCAAAATGAACCCTATTAATCCAGATTCCAGACAAGCACTGTTGAGAAAGTTTATCCATGAAAAAGGAATAGGACTTCGCATTTATGATTCATTATTTTTGAATATTTTAATCCAGATGATTTCACAGGAAACTGCACAGTTGGACACCTGGGTTACACCTTTAGGGGAGTGCTATACTTGGCAGTTATTAGCTCTATAGAATTTTAGTTTACGATATAGACAAGATATTTTATAGATCAGAACATCATGGAATTTCGATGTGCCGCTAGAAGCTGCTTACTTTGGTAAGTTGACAAGAACTTCGTCCTTGAGGTTGTCACAGACAAGCTGGACTAACCCACTCTTTACGCTGTTGTAGGAAACATCGATCATGAAGATGAAAGCTGGCTCCTTTGGTAGTACACTGTTCTGTAATACACAGAAATTTGACATCAGCATCAAAACACACATTGTACATCACAAAAACACCATGCATCACAAAAACATCATACACCACAAAAACACCATACATCACAAAAACATCATACATTACAAAACACCATATATAAGAAACACCATACATCACAAAAACATCACAAAACACCATACATCACAAAAACACCATGCATTACAAAACACCACACATCACAAAAACACCACACATTACAAAACACCATGCATCATAAAAACATCATATATCACAAAAACATCATACATCACAAAACACCATACATCACATAAACATCATACATCACAACATCTTACATCATAAAACATCATACATCATAAAAACATCATACATGACAAAAACGTCATACATCACAACTGACTATAAAAGTCCAGTTTCCACCCTTGCCGAACTAGGCTGGTATGATGGAGTTACATTTTAGCTGGACTAACGAATCTATGCATAGTCCAATCAAAATCGCACAACAAAATCGAAATCCGGTTTGTAAACTGTCGTGCAGATTTCAGTCGATTGCAGAATTTTGCAAAGTATGTGCACCACAAACTCTTTGTCAATAGCTATTTTCCAAATCTTTTCAATTTTTTAATCAAGGTGCTCACGTGATTTGATGCACTTCGCGATGATAGACACGTTTTATCACAATATAGAACTTGATTATCGATCAAATCATCTTGACTGGACGCCGCCATTTTGTTTGAAACAAATGCAAGTGATACGAGAGGTGGAATCTGATTGGTCCATAGGAGAGGTTTAGAAGGGACATAACTCGTAATAACCTTTGGTGGCGCTACATTCGAGCCCAGGAATTCCAGCCTAGTTCGGCAAGGGTGGAAACTGGACTTTTAAAGTCAGTTAACTCTTTTGCCTCGGGAAGATGCAGCTACACAGAATAAAATAACCTCCCCGAACACTTTCCCTACCTCTCAAAGAAATGAATGTGAACATTTACTGACGCACCAAAGCGTTATAGCATCCTGTAGAATGAGTGAATAGGGTTGAATGCTGCTATTAGAAAAATTCCAGCAACATCACAAATGGGGACACCAGAGTGAGTGAGTGAGTGAGTGAGTGAGTGAGTGAGTGAGTGAGTTTTTAGCAATTTTCCACCAATATCACGGCGGGGGGGGGGGGGGGGGGGGACACCAGAAATGGGTTTCACACATTGTACCCTTGTCGGGAATCGAACCAGGATCTTCGGCATGATGAGCCAAAGCTTTAACCACTAGGCTATCGGACTGCCCCGGGGACACCAGAAGTGGGCTCCACACATTGTTTCCATGTGAGGAATGGAACCGTGTAGGGAGTGTAGATCACCCATTCATTTGAGTACCACAGTAACTTACCTTACAATAGTCTTTGGTGGCAGTGAACTCATATGTCCCCAGGCACAACTCGGCCCTGTTGTAGCAGTCCACTCGCCGCCCGGTATGATCAAGGTGCGCAAAGTACTCGGCTGGAACTGCAATATTTTTAAGTCTAGATTCACATTCTGTCCAAATAGTTCAGAGCAAGAAAAGCACTTTCTTATTATTAATTTAATGTTCAGAACAGATAAAACTAGGTTTTGAAATACCCATCCTGGCCAGTCTATCATGAAACTACCACCTCACTTCAAAATTGAGTGAATAGTGCTTAATGCCACTTTGTAAAATTCCAGCTATATCATGATGGACTGACTGGACAAGGTACATTTATGATTGGATTGGATACCAGAGACCTATTATTCCCAAGAACTTCCCATGTCCTCCTTTCACCAAGCGACCTACCTTCTGTAGCAGCTCCACAGTACACACACTGGAATCTCCTTCCACCATCGATAAATTGCATAAAGGGATTCATGTAGGCCTTACAGCGTTTGCAGCGCACTGGCCCCAGTTCACCCAAGTCTACTAGAGGGGGTACTTGCTGCGAAAAACATATGAAAATATATTTTAGAAATTAATCCATCCCAAAGTCATGAAACTAAAAATCAAATCATGAAAGTAAAAACAAACTGCACAAACATGATACATCAGAACATGTAAATAACATAAATAATAGAAACAATATACTGACAGTTCTAATACTAAAAAGACGTTAAAGATTCCCGCTTCTTTCATCATGTTCATATTACTGTAGTTAACTGCTATGGCATATTCATTTGTCTACCTTAAAAGAAGTTCTTTGCACAATAAATTGTCATTAAAGATAAATATGTCATTAAGTTTGGTATTGGTTCATTTTTGTACCATGCATGTGTAAAATCCAAAATGACAGGTAGGCCAGTAACCATGGTAATGGATTACGGACTGATGGATATGACAAACAATTTGAAGGTTCCTTATTGTTCTTCTCAATCATATTGCATGGTACAACAAATATATAGAATATACACAATGTAGACATGTAATGCTGTTATCCAGATATACTATTCACAGTGAAATAAACCAGATTACTAAGTGAGTGATTGAGAATAGTTTAATGCTGCTTTTAGCAATATTCCAGCAAAACCTAAGCAGAGGACACTCGAAAAGGGCATCACACATTATACCCATGTGGAGATTCAAACCCAGCCCTTATACTGAGGAGCAAATACTTTAACCACTCGGCTACCCGATCACCTTTAGAAATGGATGAACACGTTTGGACTAACGAATCGTGTTACAGAGTAAAAGTTCTTTTGCATCCTTACCTCCGATTCAGGCAGTTTGGCAAATGGAGTGATGGAGAGAGCAAAGGGGATATGACTTGATTTAATCATGTCCGATGTGCAAGGCACATTATACATTGTTGAGCGGATGAAACGAGGGTTGCTCATTCCTGAAAAATTAAATAAAAAAATGAAATATTAAATATGACTTCAAAGAAAGTGTGAACCTCATCAACAACGTTCCACATTAAAAATGAAAGTAAAAGGTTCCTTGTTACAACCCTAGATTCAAATACTTTAGCAGCAAATCTGAAGGACATCAGAATCCCCCAAATTTCAAAAACTGCACAGCGTTTCAGCAGACATTGAAGACATCATTGTTTTGTTGTTCAGTATTCAAAGTATTTAAATACTAGTAACCTCACCAGTAGCATTTAACAAGTATAACATGGTTCTCTCGATACCATGGACATGAGTTTTTGTCATGAATTTGACACTCAGCAAGGAAGGCTGTAAAATATTTGATAGACCAGACAAATAATTGATTAATATTTTGGTTGGTTGGTTGGTTGGTTGTTTTATGCCGCACTCAGCAATATTCCAGCTATATGACGGCGGTCTGAAAATATTTGAGTCTGGACCAGACAATTCAGTGATTGATATCATGAACATCAATCCACGCAATTGGGATCGAAGACATGCATCAACCAAGTCAGCGAGCCTGACCACCCGATCCCGCTTGTCGCCTCTTACGACAAGCATAGTCGCCTTTTACGGCAAGCATGGGTTGCTGAAGAGCTATTCTACCCTGGATCTTCACATGTCGATTGATATTTTGAGCAGTGCCCTGTGCCATTTGGGTACAAAGACATACAATCAACGGAGCATGACTATTCACACTGGTTACAGCATGTTGAGGCTGTATGACCAGTATAACGAGGAATCACTACAACAGTCATGAAACACCATGAAATACTCCAGTTTTAACAGGACACCACATCCAGCAACAATATACCCACTCCAAGCTGATATGTCTTTGCTTATCCCCTTAAACATGTTAAAGCAGAGTGCCAGGCAGGGAAAAAACAAGTACCATATTTTAACTTCTTTGGGTATGACATGGCTGAGATCAAACCACCAACCTTCCGGTTTCTTGACAGGCTCTCTATCCACTAGACCATGGAGGGATCATAATAGGGAAGAGATTTGGAATAAAAATTTAAAAAAACATGCCAAACGTGAATAGGCTATCTGTTGACTGTTCACAAATCCTACCTTGGTCTTGAACATTGAATTCTGTTGTAACCAAAGGTGGAACTGTTCCTTTTGCATTTGTCTGGAATAATCCACTCCGATTCCTTCTGTCATCTTCGATCACCTGAATCTGTGACACACAAAACACTGAATCACTCATTTTCATCAAACTTGCTGTAAATTTAAATCAGTTTGATTTGCTTTTTAAAATAAATATGCAAATACAATTTACTGATGCCAAAATGAATATTGAAAGTCAGGTTTAACATCATCTTTGAACAGTATTTCAGTAATATCGATGAATGTGAAGCCCAATGCAGCCCTAAATGCATACCGGTAATTTTGCTCCCATAGCTAGTAGCTTCTAGCAATATCAAAATTTTAAGTGTCATATAAAACTGTAAGGAGAATTAGTCGCAACTTGGAGGACTGCAATGTGATACAGGTTTTCCCATTCACCAAAATACTGAAACCCATGAAAAATCATTCCTCTACTGCAGCGAATTGCAGCAAACTAGATGACTGGGCTACCAGTGCCCGAAACGGATATTGAAATGGAAAATATTTACATGGATTCCTGTAAAACAAAACCATTGACAGCATCTTACTTACAGAATACAATATACTGAAAACAAGGATAATGATGCTGCAATGCTTTGACCAAGCTTTGGGCAGATTGATAATTAGATTATGAAATGTAACAATTGAAACCCACCATATATGAGGCATTGAACTTACTGGACTTGGCATCTGGTCAGGATCCAACCTCCTTGGTTGCTGTGGTTGTGCCTGTGGTCTCTGTCCACCAGCACCATACTGAAATTGTTGCTGGCCGAATCCCTGGGGCCCTGCTGGAGGACCACCACCTCCTTGAAACTGACCCCCGGGCTGCCCACCTGGTTGAGGTGGCATCCCCTGTCCCATCTGTGGACCTACGTAACCACTATACTGACTAGTAGGTGGTCCCGGGGGACCAGGGGGACCAGGGGGAGGGAATCCACCCGGGCCTGGTTGATGTGAGAATCCTGGTTGAGTTCCCGGCCCTGGGGGCATCCCACCTCCCATGCTCACTGGAGATTGTCCAAAACTGGTGGGTGGTGCACTTGTTGGAGGGAACCCTTGTCCGCCCATTGGTGGCATCCCTGGTTGGGGTGGTGCCCCCACAGAAGTAGGAGGACCCATGCTTGGTGGTGCTCCAAAGTTTGTTTGAGGGGGTCCCATACTAGATGGTGGGGCACCATAATTAGTCTGTGTAGGCGCCATGCTTGGTGCACCGAAATTAGTCTGTTGTGAACCCATGGTGGGAGGTTGATGTGATGACATTGGTGGTGCTCCCAAGTTCTGTTGAGGGACGGGGCCTCTCATGCCCCCTGGGGGAGGAAAACCGCCAGGACCCATATTTCCACCCTGCAATACAAGTTTATTACTATAAGATGCAAAAAATAACATGTCATATGATAATGAAAAAACATCAGCCACATGCTCGTTCCTTACACTATATTGAAACAAAATCAGCAGCAAAATGAAACATACCATTACTGGAGCAGGCGCTCTCTGATCAGCAATCTTCATACTATTGAACTGACTTGTTGGAGGCCCTTGACCCATCGGAGGCCCGCCCATACTGTGGGGAGGTGGGCCCCCTCCCATACTGCTGGGTTGCGGTGGCCCTGCCATACTATTTGGTGGGCCCCCTCCCATACTAATTGGTGGGCCCCCTCCCATACTATTTGGTGGGCCCCCTCCCATACTGTTGGGTGGTGGAGGCCCTCTCATCATGGTCCCCTGGGTTGGTCCAGGGGGAAGGGGGCCTCCCATCATCTGCCCTGGGGCTCCTGGTCTGGGTGGACCTGGCGCTGGGCCCCTGGAATAACACAAATAGTTTTCAGAATGACAGTTATAAAAAGTCAAATAATGGCAAATAACACTAATGGAAAAATTTGTCAGGGCAATGAAACTTTTGGCTCTGAATAACTATTTTACACAAACCTAATATTCAATCAATAGACATCCAGGGTATGAATAAAGCATTATTTGCAAGGCTGAGCACAGAATATATTGGCGTTTTTTTCAATAATCCATTTACTAATAGTATGATGCTGTCAACATGCGGTCAAAAACCTGTTCAATACCACCAGGACCATTTAGCATGTTTACCATGTGTAGTCAAAACTTACCGCTGAGCTCCAAATCGGTTATCCCCATGTGGGCCAGGTGGTGGGCCATTTTGAGATGTAGGTCCATTTTGGGTCGGCCCATGGCCCATCTGAGGTGGGCCTGGTTTCATCATCTGTGGCTGTGGGGGTTGGGCACCTCCAAATTGTCCTGCACCTGAAAAGAAGTCATTTAAAGTGAAATGGACAGTTAACTCAAAATCATTATTTATGTTACCTTATAAAAGACAACTATCAAAAGAGCATTGACAATATTACAACAAAATGATGGTAGCCTGTACAATAAGTGAGTGAGTGAGTTTGGCTTTACGCCACCTTTAGCAATATTCCAGCAATATCACGGTGGGGGACACCAGAAATGGTACATATTGTACCTATGTCGGGAATCGAACTCGGGTCTTCGGCGTGACGAGCGAATGCTTTAACGACTAGGCTACCCGACCGCCCCTGTACAATAAGTGCTGACAAACCAGTGGTAATATGGCCATAGTGTCAGCAAGCAGAGGTAGAAACCAGAGTCAAATCCAGCAATCCCGGTAGTCCAAAGCTCAATTTTGACAAGTGGTTTGTACAGACCAGGCTGCCACATAGAAGGCCTTTTTTCAAGCATGTGTGACCCTTGGACATGTTGAAAGCATAAACCAGAATTTCCCACCATTCACTGTGTGCTACATACCTGGGGGCCCTGGCTGCATAGGTGGGGCAGGACCATTGTGGTTGTACATGTTGCCACCTGGGGGGCCTGGGCGTGGTGGCATCCCACCCATAGGGCCAGGGGGAGGTGGGGCTCCACCTTGGTTGTATCCATAGTTACCGGGGAACTGTGCACTCATATCCTATACCAGGCACTTGTAATCCTCATCTAAACACTTGTCTGCATCTGTCCAACAAAATGAAATCCATTGTAAATTTGGTAAACATAAACGTACTTTAACAATTATTGATTCCTATCTATTAAAGAATTCTAGGCCAAGATAACCGTGCCTGAACACCTCTGAAAGTAACATAATTATCCACATACTTGAAGTTGAAATACACATGAAATAACAGAGTATTCCTTGTGTGAATAATGGTAAAGTCAAAACAGGAAAGAAACTGGTGCATGTCACAAATTTAGAAATGACACCCTTCTACAAATGTGTAATAAAAAAAACAAAAATAAACATACGCTCGACAAGCCATTTGTTCCACATTATTTTACATTGGTGCCATTAACTGGCCAAAGTAAATTTAGGTTTTTGAAGTATTTTTTTCTGATCATACCTACCAATAAGGTGAGAGCGCATCAATGAAGGGATAGAAATTAGTACTAGCCCAAGCCATTTTCACTAGGTATCCCTAGGGCTGGTTGAATTCCGAACATTTTGTATGATTACACTCTAAACATGCTAAAGGCAAATTCAGACATCTTCTCAATACTGCAATATTATGCATTGTTTGCCAACAAATCAAGTAAAATAGAAAACATCTCTTTTAGAGATCAAACTATTTGTCATTATTAACTCCTACGACAAACACCCCATCTAAGCTCTGTAATCTGGTAATAATAGATAGCAAAAAACAAACAAAATTTTAATATCATTATGTCTACAACTGATTGTAAATTAATTAATCGTCTAGCTATCTATATCTATCAAGCAATGTCACTTCGTAGTACATTATTGTCAGAACAATAATAGCTGTGTACACCACGTCCATTGTAATACACCTGTAACTATTGGCCGATGGCCTACACTTTTGAAATAAACCGAATTGACCTGATAAGAAAAAACAATTACAGGGTTTGACAAATACGCTGGCTAACTGGACAAGCTAATGAACTTATATCCTGGCCACCACATGAATTCAGTAATTTGTAATTCTAATTTGGGAATTTGTAATTCTAATTTGGGAATATTTACTGACATATAAATATAATATTTAGCTGAATTTCAGCCTCTCAGCAGGCCTATAATAATAAGTGCTGAAGAAAAATAAAATTGTCATTCTCAGTTTCATATCTGCTTGCTACATTTCAATCTTGAGTTTGTTGCATAACTAAAAAAAGTAAGAATTTAGATAGGTAAGCTAATATGCATATTCAAAATTGTATACTCGGACCCCATGGTACCACGGCATTCATCGTATCGCGGCATTTGTGATTTCCGATAGTTCACGCGGGACACGCCTCTTAGCGGCTGTCTATTAATGCAAATCGGTAACCAGGAAGTGCTCACTTCATAAACAATTTCCATGGAATGTTCCGTCTGCTGTAAGTAAGGAGTTATTAATCCGTTGATACATATTTCTGGCATCTGTTGTAATATTGCCTTACCCCCATCTATCAATGGCCAACGATATAACCCGCAGTTCCCCAAGTAAACTTTCTCTATCGACCTGAACTAGATCATATGCATATTCATGGAGACTAATGAGGTAACGGAAGTTACGTAGTCCGTACATTTCCCCCGCTCTGTGCCCAGAATCTATTGGGAGATCATAAGGGCCATAATGCCAAACTTAGAAATACGTTCTTCACCATGTTCACTAGTAACCAAAAGATAAATACATACTTTGGGCATACTAGGAGTGCTTTTTATATATTTATCGTTGACTTTTAACATTTTTCCATTTTGTGACAAATTATTGTCATCCAATTTTTTTTAAACAATCATAAAATATCATTTCTGATATTTTGTTGTTGACTTATAAAAATATTTTCCTCTTACTTTTCGGTAAAAATGCATTGAATACCTATTGCTGATAACACATTTAGAATTTTACTTGTGCTGTCTTTGCACTTGTCTGGACAAATCACTGATGTCTGGCATGATCATACCAAGTGGTTGGTAGAATTATGTCCTCTTTTTGTCCAATTCGGACCTCCATACACAACTTTTCTCTGTACCGCGATACGGTGGAGTTCTCTCCCTTGTCAAACAGAGCACGAGGCCCGGCTTTTACTCAGAGCTACTAATGTAAATAATGATCTTTTATCAGTAAAATATGCATTGTTTGATAAAATGAATGATATCTGATACAGAGAACACGAATAATCATAAAGGTTAGTGAGTGCATTTTGTTCCGTTTAGCGTACTTGACCATGTTGACAAGTACCGCGATACCCCGAGTTTGCATGCTATATAAATTATAATGTATTCTAATTATGCTTGTGATTAACCTCAGGCCCATGGTTTTCATGTTATCATTATCTATTTTACAAACATCTGCTCATGGTCAGTCCAAGTCCATGATGAAAACCGTACCAATACACCACTCATGTTTATTCACAATGTTGAACTCACTGAAGTGACAGGTATAGGCTCCCTGTTAAAAATCAATTTGTAAAAAACAGAAGAATTGCATCTTTGTCAGTATTTCATTATCGATAAAACGTAATGTATTGGCTAGAATAAACACAAGATATCATTTATTTGGCTTCACAGGGTTCATATATTTTTTATATTTATTAAAACATGAATAACTTTGATAATCTTATAAATAAGCATGAGAAATTACATTAAATCATCACTGCAGAAACATATTTAAGTGGAACATGGTTTGGGTCAATTTGAAGTTATAGCAATTTGGATTCAAGTCAACCAAACATGAGCACAAAAACAATCTCTCAGTTTGGTTATGGCTAAAACGGCACCGGGCAAAAACGGCACCGATAGGCGAAAAGGTCACCACATCACAAGCGAAAATGACTACTATTGCCTGGCAAAAACGGCACCTTAATTTTTTTTACGTTGGTAAAATATATGAAATTAAACCTATACGGTCACTTGCAAACACCAATAATTGTGAAATGTTAAAACAAGTTTACATTAGAAATTAGCCCCCCTACTCCAATTTACAGTATGATCTTCTCAAAGTAATGAAAATAATTAGTTTTAGCAGGTACACTTTATCATGTTTATCCAGAACCAAAAAGTATTATTTTCTCTTATTTATTTGTCAAGACAATTTGCGAAAAATAATTATTTTTGAAAAAGTTTGAAATCAATCTATGTCATAATGGGTAAAAATTGCATATAAACCTAATATATTTTTTCACTGTTTTTCAGATTTATGTCAATATAAATATATTTCCTAGCCTAATATGTGATTATATGCTGTTATCTGTGAATAACTTGAAATCAGGAAATGACGATGTAAATACATCACATAACATGTAAATAAATCATACTAATACATAAAACGTTCTTATCGTTATTAAAAATAGAGGTGCCATTTTCGTCAGAGAAATCGGTGACGTTTTAGCCTACACCCTAGTCTGTCTTACAGACCCTGATACAAATATATATCAAATACAGCCCATGCAAGTCTATAATGTTTGGCAAGTCTAGATCACTGCAGTACAGACCCTGATACAAATATATATCAAATACAGCCCATGCAAGTCTATAATGTTTGGCAAGTCTAGATCACTGCAGTATCAGAAAATGAAGAGAGTCACTGGGCTCCTTTTTATTATATTTTTATTAAGATAACTGAACAACTTTTTTTAATGTAAGATGTGTTCATTTCAGAGACTAGATGTTAGTCTACCCCTCAGTTTGACATAAGTCACTTGAACAACAGACTGGAAATAGGCTCCAGACCTTTGAGCATAGTCCACTTTAATATGTCAACAGTGGTAGATGTGTGTGGATATCATTTGGTGCTCCATATCTTTAACATTTTTAACGTATGTCAACACTATCTGACTATGACAACTTGCTGTGAGCATGATAAGTAATTCATCTTGCAATATTTATTACAATAAACGCAGTCTTAGGTTACTGCAAATCAACACATAAACATCTCAACTTGAGAGTTGATACATTCATCATATTCACCAGAATCTGATCTGCATGATGATCAGATGTATGAATTGCCTTACTTTCCTAACACTATTATTAGGCCAAGATGAAACAGACTGCTGGTAGACAGGATACATTGCATATTTATCATTTACCTATGAAAGCCATAAAACTACCAGATGTTATTTAACTCAAGCACATTAATCTATGCATACATTAAAACACGACCAACATGAAAATCATAAGCATTGTTAATGCGCATCTTTTTTATCAATCAATGTTTCACATTTTGATGATAGTGTGCCAGTACTGACACATAAGCCTAATCAGTGAATGAACGTGTTATCAACACTGATGTCATAAACCTATGGGGAGAAAATAACTCCAGTTTAAATATTTGTTTTAGTTTTAAAACCTACCATCAACGTGTTAATGCAACAGGCGAACCTACCCTAATCTGGTGTGGAAAATATATAATGGTCAAGTCAGGACCAGTCATCCACAGCTGTCAAGCCCGGAAACACCGGTCACTGCAGGACAAGTACAATGCTATGAGTGAACTTTAGATGAAATCAAAAGTTCTCGATAACAGGTGAATATGTACCTACCAAATTCTGTTATCTCGAATGACCACCAAACCCTCTGAATCGTTATAAATGCCAAGAATATACACACAACTTCTGCCACGTACGGAAAGCCGACATGGACTTCCTGACATGCGTAGCACGTGCCACGTAAGCAGGAAGTAGGCACAGCGGGAACTATGGGAAGAAAAACAAAAGTAAAATCATATCTTCTCCACTACATATCGTTAATGTAAAGCTTTGCAGGCATCTCTGGAGAAACATACCAGGGTTACCAGGCAAACCAGCTTAGCATCCAAATTCACTGGTTTTTTTGTCAATACAAAAAGGCAACCCCGGTTGAAGACAAACAATGATCTCCAGTTGTCCTGATAAAACACGTTGGACCGGAGATTAGTTTTCCAAACTGTTTACAAAATTCAGGGCAACTGTACATGATCCTTTCACTGACTTTGCCAAATTTCATGATTTCAAAATCCAGGTATTCCGACCAATCCAACATCGAAATTTCTGTGTTTGTATTGTTGTTTTATAAATATTTTCTTTCACACTATATTGACATCATGTTCCTGAATGCACAGATCAATGGGCGACGGTATGGGATCAGTGATAAATCAACTTGTCCGACAAGTAAATATTACTGTACACGGGCGTCGGGCAATTTAGTCACTTCAAACCTCTGAATACACATGTAAATATAGAGGGATCATTAAAACGACACCGCGTCAAAACAGCACCAATATTTCCTGGCGAAAACGACACCAAATTGGTGCATACGACAATCTTATTACGACATCAAGTATATGGCACGGCAGCAACTGCATCAAAATTCCGAAATTGGAATATTTTTACACTTGGTTAGCGGAAAATTTTCGAACACATGCAGGCAATCGACACGGTGTTGAGATGAGATAAATGAGATAATAAAAATCGATCAAAAGGGAAGTTAAAGAGACACGATGCAGCGCTGGAATCGGAAGATCTGATTAAAATAACGAAAATGTGTGCCTCTTTGGTATGTATACAACACAAATTCATTATCTAAATCAGAATATCGGATTCCTGTTTGCTATGGTACTTTGAATAAGAAGACAAAGAGTTACTTCCCTTCCCTTCCCTCATCGATTTAGGTGTGCTGATATTTGTGTGTGTGTTTTTTTCTTTTTCAGAAATATATCAAGAAAAAAATAGAAAAATCTTAATGGTTATGCTAATTTTAATAATTTGGTAAAATTTCGGTTTATAAAATCCACCAGTAAAGCATTAAGACAATTCATGAAGTGGCGTACGTACGTATAACATGTATATGTATCGGGATCGTGACATCCTGCAATAATTTCAATTACATTTTAGCCCATATTTAATACTACAAATACGAAATTAAAAGATAAGCGAAGTGCTCATATATTCATTTTAAAGCACACGTAAGATAAACCAGTTTTCATTTAAGGGTCGCCACGGAGATGTAGCACAATAACATTAGTTGTAAGACAAGTAGTATTCCGTTTCTGTATACCTCGTGTAGCAGACGCCGTCACACGTACAACGCGTACGTGTTTGACGGCTATCAGTGTGTTGTCAGTTGTCAATGTCTGCGTCTATATTTATCACTTCATCAATAGTACACCTGTCACACGTCAACTTTGTTTAATTGTATATGTTGTTACACCATAAATCTGTGACTGTAGACCTAGGCCTCACTTGGTTTGAAGACCGTAGGCTATTTGTCCAGATTTAATCCTCGAAATATGAAAGTTTGTTTTGTGTTCTTGCTGTGGTGTCTTTTCCTGGAAACAAACATTGCAGGCAAAGACGGATATACCAGTAGTGACGGTACGGAGTACGAACCACATTCTCCTTTTAACGACATCGGGTACGGGAGCGACACCAGTCAAGGGTATGGAGTCTTCAATGAACCCGGAACAACTCACGATCTCCCTATTATTTTGTGGTGGACGGATATGATCTTTCCACATTTTGGAGGAAAGTCCGACAAGTTTGTTATTCAATGTGGAGATGTTTCTTGTTATTCTACAAAGCACAAGAAGTATGCCAAGTCGAAACAGACAAGAGTGTTTATGTTTTATGGCACTGACATTGAACCCGAGAAATTACCACTGCCAAGACGCCCGTATCATGAATGGGCTCTATTTCACGAAGAGTCACCACTGAATAACTACATTTTATCTCATACTCCTTTCATTGAGCTGTTCAACCACACTGCAACGTTTAGGTCGGAGTCAGATTTTCCACTGACGAGTCAGAACATATACCATGTAAACTATCTTACGGAGAGGCAGCCTGTCAATGTTGTTAAGAAGAAAGAGGCGAAGAAAAGTATGAAATTGGCGTCCGTTCTGTACGTCCAAACACACTGTGATGTCCCTTCGGACCGTGACCGCTATGTGAAAGAACTGATGAAATATATTGATGTCGACTCGTATGGGGAGTGTCTCCATAATAAGGACTTGCCAGAACACCTGAGGGACCCAGCAGAAAATTATGAAAAGGATGAATTCCTCAATTTTATATCTCAGTATAAATTTCATCTGTCGTTTGAAAATGCCAATTGTAAAGATTACATGACAGAGAAACTGATGCGACCGCTGTATGTTGGGTCTGTTCCCATTTACAAAGGGTCACCATCAGCTAAAGAGTGGATGCCAAACAATCACAGTGTGATTATGGTTGACGATTTTTCAACGCCTGAGGAACTAGCTGCATTCATTAAGGCTATCGATGCCGACGATAGGGAATATGAAAAATATCTAGCGTTCAAGAAAACAGGAATTACTAATGAATTCCTTTTGAAACATCTGAAAGAAAGGCCGTGGCATCTTAATGTAAATGGCGGTTTTGATTATTTCCGTGGATTTGAATGCCTAGTATGTAAGAGAGTTCATGAGCGCTTATATTTTGAGAAAGATCGGGAAGAAGAGCCGGACATTCCGTTACCATCTCCAAGAATTGCAAACTATTCCCATTTAGGCTGTCCGCAGCCTTATCCCTCCTTCGGACATCCTGGGGACATTCCCAAAACTGACATGTAAGGCAATATTAAGTACGCTTGTATAAAGAATATGTGCTGATAAGAAATATTCTTCAAGTGAAGTGACAGAAGCTTTTAATGCCACGTATGCATAAAGTAAATCCAGTAACCTATACTTTCATATGGGCCACAAATATTGACAATGTATTATTTCAGTTAAGATTATTCCTCCTAGGTCGCCAAGTTTGCAAAAAGGATTTATGTGGCTTACAGGAAACGAACTTAAACCGTGCTCCAGAAATTAACCCTTGTCAAGTTGGGTGTACGACACACATATTATTTTATGTTTTTAAAACTTTCGAAAATTGTCAGTGGATTATTGGCATACATACCTTTAAAGAGGGTGCGAGTGAAATAGGGATCGGATGCCATTATAATATTACCTGTCTGAATTTGGGTCAAGGATTCGATAAGACTGGATTGCTCCAGGCCGCCGTGATCCCCAGTCAGAGATTCGTCACTTACAATATGGCAGCGATTTGTTTACATTAGAAACAAGATCCTTCTTCAAATTTTCTCTTTGCATAAAGTTAGGAGAATGTACAATCCATGTAGAAATCCTGCCTCTGGCCTACAAAGCCAGAAAATAATCGGCTGCTAAGACATCAGCATGGAAAGAGTCAGCGGACGAATACATGCCGTCTTTCGATACTTTATTCCTCTAAAAACACGTGAGAAAGTACAGTGTATATTCTTCTAACCCCAAGGATACCTTTAACATTAGGCGAATTGATTCGGTGTAGTGCCAGTTTGTATCCCTGGGTAAAGGTCCACAGGGTTGAAACCGTCGATTATGCAGTGTAGGATATCATACTTACATTTAATGCTAAATGTATTAACCATATGTTGGAGATATGGTACACTGTATAATGGAGGATCCTGGACTGAGGGTTGTATCCGTGACACCATTGTTACCTTAGGATATCATCAGGTATCTTATGCATTGTGTGCTATTGTTTCAGATGGCATAAATCCGACTGGATCAGTCAATACTGGGCCGACTACGACAGAGCCCGCGCTGCCCGAAACATGGTTTTAGCTAAAGAGAAAGACTCCAAGAAATTTTTCGATTATTACGAAAAGGTTATGCGGCAAAAGGCATAAAGACATTGAAAGGCATTACAGTATTTCGCCGTCTCATATCTGGAATATTGCCGTGTGCGGCATTAAATGCCAAGTATTGTCGACAAAAATATTCTTCCGACTACAACTTGGAATTTAATACATACAGTCATGTAGAACGTAGAAACATTTATTTTTGAGATGAATAATGTCGTTTTAATATTTCGTAATCCATATTTAAGCTGATGTATACATTCCATTGTTCTACCTTACTATAAATGCCTTTTAATGTACAATGAACACGTTTGAAAACGTGAAGTATAACATACATTATAGCCCAACGTTCGCTGTTCTAAGCTGACAAAATTGTACATGTGGATGTGGTTGATGAAACCTGATAACTTCTCATTAGGTATTAACAATAATGATTTTGATACAGCTGTTTCTGTGATACACTTGATACTGTGTTAGGTTTCAAACATGGTGCATGTAACACGTTTTATCCCTAAACGTTACTGACGCCTAGAGAAATCTGTCCACTTTCTGTTATGAAAAGATGCCCAAACTCTGCTGGCTTCTTAGTACATATCTGTTGATGTTATGGATGTGTTCTTTATTATATCCCCGACCAAAAAGGGCTGGGTACATAATTATAACAAGGAATTCCGTCCGTCAGTCTTTCCTTCGGAGCAATTTTTTTTTGTGCGACCTGTAACTTGAAAACTACTGCGTCGATTCTTTTCAAACTTGGTGAACACTTTCAATACCAATAGCAGAAGTGCAGTGCGAAGTTTGAATTCCATGTTTGGTTTTCTGAAAAAAATAAACATGTTTTTTTAAAAGATTGTGCGGACTATAATTTGAAAACTACTGCTGGATTCTTTTCAAAGCTAGGCAGTTTCTAGTTTCCATACTAATAGAAGAGGTGCAGTGAAAATTTTGATTTTGATATGTGTATATTTTCTGAAAGAATATGATGTTTTTCATGTCTTGAACCTCATTCTTTTTTACCTTAACATTTGTGAGACTTATGACTTGAAAATACTTCACAGATTCTTTTCAAACTTGCTGAACACTTTCTATACCAATAGGAGAGGTGCACTGCGAAGTTTGATTTTGATATGTGTGTTTTCTGAAAAAAATATATTTTTAATATTTGGATTATCTGAAAAAAATACAGCTATTTTTCATTTTTGTACTTAGAATTTTTGTTCTTAAACATTTGTGCGGCCTATGACTTGAAAACTACTGCGTGGATTCTTTTCAAATTTAGGGAACAGTTTCCATATCAGAAGGAGAGGTGCGCTGCAAAGTTTGATTTTGATATATGTATTTTCTGAAAATATGATTTTTTGTCATGTTTTCAACTTATATTATATGTTAGGAGTCGCCCTGCCCAACTATTGCCTTTTTATGTTTATGAGTTTATTAAACGTTTACTTTGCTCTTGTCAAAAACGTTCTCAGTAAACAGTTGTACATTATTATTATTATTATTATTGATTTTTTGAGGGCTTTCCCTGATTTAGAAGTCCTCATTCACTGATGTTGCAACCAGTGCTCAGGTTACAGTTTGGTGTGTAGAGAAGAACTTAAGCTCATCATGGCATGTTTGCTTATGGGGAGAGATTAAAGAATTATAAGGCCTGTCCTAAACCTATTTATGTAGACCATCCACTAGTAGTAAAGCGTTGTGACACCTTTGTGTCTAGTGATGGCTTTTGGTAAACTTTTCGAATTATTCCATTTTCCATTGTGTGTCCATGTTTTGATGTCCGTTTTATTCAAATCCCACCTTTGTGAAATAAAATTTAGAAAATATTTTGAGGGCTGGTAAACCCAACTAACTCACTGTTCTCAGTCATCAAGTCTTCCATCATGTTCAAGTTGTACACTGTTTTTCCATCATGGTTACGGGTTTTTTCGCCCAAGTTTCAACAGTTGAAACAATCTCATTAAAATTAGATCTTATTTCCAAGATCTGATTTTAATAAGTTTGCATTTGAAATTATATCTGCTATGTGTGTTTGTGTGTGCAAAATATAATAACTACATGCACTGCATTTGATTGAAAACTCTTGAAATATAATATAAACCGATGCAAATTGTATGTGTGAAAAATGTAACCTTATATTCTTTAATTTAAAACATTTTGATGTTGTGATGGTAAGCTATGAATACACTTTTAATCAGATAAATAGTAAGTTACAGAATAAACGTGTTATGTTTATATCCTGTCAGCAATTAATTGCATCAACTCACATGGTCCGTGTTAATGACCACAGTGTAACATCATGCACTCGATTACACATGTAAGTTTACTCAAGAATGCAAGGTATTCACACGTGTGTAAACGTTTCGCGTGCTGGTACATTGCATCGGGAATTAATAAATGCCGGTTCTTGAGGTTGTGCTAATTATTGTTTTTGCTTATGTGTAAATATGTCTAAATAATATTAGGCAGAAAATTCTTTATGCCAGATGGAAAGCGAGCAGTTTTCTTTTGGCTCCAGTGATTGGATCGTTTTGTGACATATTAATTAAAACATCCTTGTTTACATGAAAGGCTTGAAAAACGGACGTACATACTATGATAGTATCCCACCAAGCTGATCGTCTTTCTCTCTCTTTTTCCGTATTAGTTACCTTGCGAAAGAATTTTGTTAAACTCTAGTCGGCAATATTCGATAATGGTCGTGGCTTAAATAATCGAGTCTGGCCCTGACTGGAAACCAGGCCCTGATGACACGCTATCAAACGAATCACTGAGCATGACCGCCCGATCCAAACAAATTTGTGAATCAACACAAGCAGTGGATATGCTAGGGTCATGTTCTAGATCTAGCGTTGTCTCTCCCCCCCCCCCCCCCCCCCCCCCCCAAAGCGTCCAGCATGGTACCATATATGTTTCCTCTCCGTTAGAAAGCAATTTTGCTGAAGAAAAGGTGAAGTGAAATGGGGTTTAACCTTGCGTTCAAGATTGTTCACTGACATAGTTGAGACATGTACGTATGTATACGTGTGCAAGTGGCTGATAGTCCGGACTTAAGCCTGTTTTGTTGCTAGCCCACTGAGATACCATGCCCCAGTTTAGCATGTATACCCCACTCAGACACACTGTACTCACACCGAGCCGACCAGTCCTTGTATCCCAATAATGCCGAGCACCAGGCGGGGTAGCAACAAGTAGCAGCTCTTAACATATTTGATATGATGCGGCCAGGCATCGAACCACCGACCTTCCGCTCTCTGGCCAAATGCGCTATTCACTTAACTACAGAAGCTTATTTCTGTATGTAAGTGTTTAAAAGAGATGAACTTTCATATTGAATAAATGCCTTTCACAGCTGACAAACCATCCTCGATAACCCAGTGTATTAAATACCCATTCTGGTAGGATATATACCCTGTGTCCATTCGTTTTGATCCATTTTCGAAAAGCATGCCGCTAAAAGTAGTCAAAAGCATACAAATTGGAATATATAATCATATTTTACAGGCAAATGATTGCCAGTATCTTCTTTGTTATTCAGTTTTAACCAAACAATCCATATTTTACATCACATACCAAATTGTTGAGACTTGAGACATTTTATAATGGAATGGATGCGAATTCAGTGAATTTTAAGTTTCACATTTATTCAAGAGAAAATATGCATTAACTAATGACTGATAGGTTGGACTGCTTATTGTCTGTCTCGCGGATATTGTAAAGAAACACATAATGCTGGGATGTAATTAAGACGTGTAATATAAATGCATCTGTCTGAAAAAACAGGACGTAGTAATTGAAATGGGAAGCACGATGCCGAGTATCACGGGCAACGGATGGATACCTGTGAATTAATTAATAGATATTCTATACAACTATTGAGTATCCACATAGAATTACACCTAACCATGTTGCCGAGATGACACCATGGTGATAGTTTAACCGTCACCATGGAAACTATCAACATACATATTACTGTTGCTATGATCGAACTACGTCAAGTCACTGGAAGCCATTTACAACTGTATGACATGCTGTTTCACTAAATCCATCGCGACCACAGTTTATACGTGTATTGTGTTGGGTATATATAGACGGAAGAAAACATTTCCATCATCATAACAAATCCTCTAAAAGTAGAGACGAATGTACAATTTCGACTATATCATAAGATTGTGTTAGTGAATCACTATCAAATAGTGATGATACCAGGTTTTTCGCGAAAAGTGAGCGTTCGCCTGAAAAATAAACACGGTCCGTACAGATGGTAAAAGTCAAAATAGGGAAATGTCTGCTAACATTTTATGTTGTATACCAATCTAGCAGTGAAGGGTCACTCTAATGTGACGAATAGACTATGACTATGCTCCAAATTCACAATTATCACTCATCGTCATATAATGGTTGGTGCATGATATCGATGCGATAAACCATGCCGATAAACTTGTGTCACGATCCGATAAATATGCAAATAAGGTCACCAAGCAGGAACTACTTTCAATTTCCATTCATCGGTTCAATGCCTGATTTCCAACTAAACTATTGAAAAACGTTCAATAAGTTAAAACTAGGTGTTTTCGGATGTGTGTGTGATTATATAGACCAACATGGCTGCAAATCACGTGGCACTATATCATTAAAGTGGTGGTTCACTCAAACATTGTATTAATAAGCGGTTTCTAAACGTTAAGTCATTAGGCAAAATTTCGTCTAAACATCGATTATTTTAAGAATATCATAAAATGATAAAGTGATGTTTTCGTATCGTAAATATACCAATATTAGGTATACACTGACTTAATCCCCATTTACAACATCTAGACTTGCACTGAAAACGGATACGGTACCAATTAATATTCAAGGGATGAGGTGTTGGAGACGGTATATTTGGTCTCACATAAATATCTTTGGAGAGGCCGAACAATTTATCATCTTTCAGCATAATTTATTATCTTTAAGCAGAACATTTATTTTCATGACGTCCAGCATGTCCACTGAACATGTTTTTAGGCATTTGTTTTATTAAATCACATTAGTGTCTACAGTTCTACAAGTTGTTCTTCAGGCTTGTTCGTTACGTTTGGCACGATGCATGCAATCCACCAAGTCAATGAGCCTGACCACCGAATCGATTCAGTTGCCTCTTACCAGAAGCAGAGGTTACTGAATGGGGACCTGTGGTGTTTAGATCTATGAAGCTATATGTCAGTTAAACATTCAAGACATTACAATTTAATTACATATATTAACTAATACTATGAAAAGGTGTCAGATATGAAAGGTTACATAGAGTGACAGTGGTTTAACGCTGTTTTGAAGAGTATTTCCGTTATATAACGGCTTACCTTGTGTCAGCTTACTGTGGGAGAAAAGCCAGAAGTTTACCACTTTGGTGAAACGGGTATGGTGCTGACAAACCAAGAAACATCATGATGGTGAATCTGGGATTCGAACCCACGATAATAGCGAATTGTGATGCCTAAGACTACTGGGCCACCCGTACCTTCTGAAATATTCCAGGTCAGAGACATATCAAGTCTATAATTGTTTGACCCACGCCAATCGAACTTGGGCCAAATCTCTTACGAGAAGGTGAAACTTGTTTTAGAATGACGTGACGTGTGTTCACTGATTGATTGAGTGAGTGAGTAGGATTTTACGGGGCTTTGTCAATGTTCCAGTAATATCACGACGGGGAACACCAGAAATGGACTTCATACATTGTACCCACGTGGAGAATCAAACCGGGCGTTCGGCGTATCAAACCAGAATGACTACACACCTGAAATATGAAATGCCCATCTGTTTCATCAGGTTTGGTCATTGTGTGACTTATGACATGACACCCTCGGCGCCCCTCGCATTTGTTTATCCGAGCTCATTTTGTCAGTAACTTCATTCCAGCACTTGTTTCATTTGTCGTTAAAAATATTCTGGGGTGCTTGCCATTTTTCCATGTGTATATTACACCGTCAACACTTAAGCATAGTCTCTCTCAATAAGGTTCAAGAGGGGGACTTTTAGTTAAAGTCCGTGGCGCTGAGTGATCTACCGAATACTGATTAAACCATGATCAGCATAGAAACAAGACACCTAACATTTAATAGAATAACATACAGAAAAAATATTAACCCCACAAATGTAGGATCCCAAAACTATCTCTCCTTTGAGATTTGCAATCCATTGTGACGTCATTGTTACCATGACGTCACAATCAAATGGAATCATAATGTCTGCTACTGAAACTCGTTAGCAGTAGTTTTTTACAACCACGACACTGTTTATTACTGTTAACAAACAGAAACCGTGGGAAGAATGATGGATTATAAATAGAATCTCGCCCTCGTGTCTCTTGTCCTCGGAGTTTTAAAACTGTATCGAATCTTGTAGATATATTTCATATCATAAGAGGCGGTCGGGTAAGCCTAGTGATTAAAGCGTTGGCTCGTCACGCCGAAGACCCGGGTTCAGTGCCCGACATGGGTACAATGTGTGAAGCCAATTTCTGGTGTCCCCCGCCGTGATATTGCTGGAATATTGATAAAGGCGGTGAAAACCATACTCATTCAAGCTCTTACTTCATATTAAAAGACTCTCGGTGACAATATCTATATCCCCATTGATAACGGCTGTTTAAGTCCACAGAGTGTCTTCCTTGCCGCAGTGGCAGAATGCTAAAATTCCGCTGACGACAAATGTTTTTCGTCAATTTTCTTCTGTCATCCAAGTCTATGATAGAAACAAGGGTCAAGTGGTGTTTAAATAACTTACAATTCATGTACCTAATACAAGGCAAAGACAAATTAACCATCGTTTAAATGTCCTATATACTCATATAATCTATATTGCTTGTCTTGAATTAAACATTGATTTGTTCTTGAGTAACAGTAAAATAGAACTGGACATCGGTATGATTCCTGCCATCATTCTAATATTACACTATAGGTCAATAAAGAAAATCAATTTGAAATATCATAAACGTTTTGGCAACAGCCCGACCTGAAAAGGATTGTAGAAACAAATTAGTTAAGTTCGATTATTTGGTTTGGACGTATACTCTACCACCAAACAAATATATCTACTTGATAGAGACAACACAGAGTTGTTCCCCTTTAACTAAACACTAAATGTAATCAACGACTGACAGCTTATGAGGTTAGTGATCTTTTTCGAATATATTATCTTTATCTGAATTGCAGAAATTAAAGTGGACTTATTTGACGAGAAATGAATTGAGTTATTGATCCGTGCGATAAGCTTGATCTCCCCCGATACATACCTACTTGAAAATATCAGCAGCACCAGAGGGCACTTGTTGTGACGTCATCTTTACATATGGAGGCCATTCGCACCTGAGATCAGATGTGACAAAATAAGTGGCAAGTACAACACAGGTGAATATTTTCTGTGCATCTACGATAGGAATGTGAGAAGCTTTGTTCAAAGTTACTTCACTGCTTTGTGTGTCTTTGGGGGATTTATGGTACTACTAAATGTAGCGGATTGGTATATAAACAAATCTCTCGCACAAACTGTCAAGGAAGACCGAGGCTGTAGGCTACAATGTCATTCAACAGCTTCAATGTTGATTCTGTATTTCCGCGACTTTAGATCATTCGTTTTTGACGTCACCTGTTAGAGTAGTTTCTTCGTGCTGCAAAGAAAAATATCGATGAACACCGTGATATTGATAACGTATCCTGTTATTCAATGGTGTTGAATCTAATAACATTGATATCCAGCTCATGTACAAACGAAAGTGATTGTTAACAAATATATTTGCCACAAACCCCACAGCTATTGACTTCACAATATGTGTATTTACATGTTTATGTATGATGTGTACATTGGCGGTGTATGTATGAATAATTTGCAAATTGCTGTATTTTAGTAAACGAATTTCAATATGACAAATATTCTTATGCTCAATCTATATTATGAAATCATGGCTATAACAATTGTGATTGTAGATCTAGTTCAATTTTTAGTAAACCAGTTCAATATATCAATTGTTATCATGCTAAGCCTACAGTATAAAATCTTGGGTATGATAAGGTTGTTAAGTGTCTGACATAACAAGTTCTGTTGAAGGAAACCTGCATTATCAGTTGCTACCATAGGTTGGTTGTTTGGGATATGATACCAAGAATTATAAGTAGACATTTTAGAAGATTATTAATTTATATGTGGCATAGTGATGATTGTTCATAATAGCTAAAGTAAAACTTTAAAGACAGTATAGACACATCGTCGTTAGAGATTATGTAATAAAATAGGTGCACTGACAATTGTACTTTCATCATGTTCAGTAACACAGAATAATTTGATGTAACCTTAATTCAGGTAATACAACAGTTTCTTACAAATGTCTGAAAATGCAGCCATTGTGTCCTGTCTTTAATTTGTATCATGCTGTTAACAAACAAAAGTTATTGTTGAACAAACGTTCTCAGTCCTAACAGTACACTGCAGTAAAAGTATCAGACTGGTGGGTGTGTTTTTTTGTTATAGACAACATATACAACTTCCAACGTTGTACAAGGTATAGCAATGTTTTAAATTAAGCATATGATATTCCTTGTTATGGCACTGTTGTTAAAAGTTTAATATTTAGAGGGTCTCTAATTTAAATACTGTAGCAGCAAACCTTTAAGATCACCCGTGATATCTGAATAATGTATTGGCAAAAATATTCCAGTGAAAGTTGTAATTTGGTTTTATCATGTTGATAACAAGATTAATATGCTTAATTCATTTCCTTCTTCTTTTCAGACTATTGCAGATCCAGCTGTGATCATCAGTATGTAGGGCGTCATTTCTGTATTACGGTCAAGGAAAGACTTCTAGTCAACTAGAAGGACCCACATGTTAGTATCTGGACCACCAAGCTAGAACAAATGTATACCATAGCAAGTACTACAGTATGCCTATACAGCAAATAGCAGTTAGACCACTCGGAGTTATGAAAGACAGGAAAAACAATATATCTGGCCCCAACAAGGGGAAAGAGAGCACTCGCGTAAGTATTTCAATGCATGGTCAATGTTGGTCAACACTTTTGATTTATATTCATTTTTACATCAGCCTTGTTACACTTGCTAAACAAAAGGTGAAACTTTATTAGTGTTGTCACGTTGCTGTAGTTTGTCCTGATGTATATACATGTCACAAGGAAATGTATTATGGAAATAACTTATCAGGGGTCTGGAAATATTAAAATTATGAACTTGTCCATGGACTCATTTGTCTGGAGACAAAAATAGTCCTATTTTTCTAGATTACTGACCAAAAATGGCGCTTTTGTCTCAGAATATGTCTTTTACTGCCTGCAATGTTTGTTTTGATTTTGCTGAATCAGTTTTTGTATCTAAGTGGTTTTTTTTCGCACAAATAATGAATTCACCAATTGCTAGGTTGAAATTGTAATGAAAACCTATACTTAGGCATGACTTCTTACTATAAGTGAAGCAATTGGCTACATGGTGCTCTGATCAACCAAACAGAGTGTATCCAAACGCAAGATCAAAATCAGAACAGGAAGTAAATAATACACTGTTGTCATTTGGACTGATCAAAGTCGCAATGTTTACACTATTTCAAAGATATGTGTAGCCTTGTTATCAGAATTGACTAAAGCCATATAGGTCTGCTAAATGTAAAGGTTGCCCTCAGACAACAGAAGCTGATTTTGTTTCTCTGTCTGGCATTCATTTTCCACACATCTGATTATACATTTGAGGTTTTTAACAGCTGACATTAATGCGCCCTTGATCATAATCATGGTGTTGAAATTATTATTTTGTATTTTTCATCCTGCCCATATATCAGTTCTAATAACAATGGGAAATATTCAGTGCTACTCAACACCAGCTGGTTCATTTGTTTAACTGAAACTTTGTCATTCATGTCTTGTTAAAGTTTTAAAAGAATAGGCAGTGCAGCAGTTGTGATATGTAGAATCGCTCATGCTTTGAAAATGTATGGGGGGCACATGTAACAAATGTGCTACATACATCATGTGTATTGCAGTACAAACAGGGCTGTTAATTCAGCTATTGAGAATTTGTGGTGCAGCAGATGTTACATTTGTTCGTAACATGAAGTAGGTTGTGAATACATCACACACCATATCCCTGGAGCCAAGACTTGCACTCCTTACCATGCTCTAGTTAGTGGTGTGTGCTACTGGTAGTGCAGGAGAGGGTGTCATTACTGGTTTTCATTTCATTATTGTCGACTAATGATAAGAAGCATTGATTCACTCACTGAACATTTGTATGAAACCGCTCTCTGATGGAAAGTCAGTCTGGGCCAAAAACTTTGTCATCTACTGGTCTGATCTTTTCATTCTAGGTCTTTTTCTGTGTATTAAGGTAACGGTGAAGTCACTTAAATCTGTTGATTGAACTAGATTCAATGAGCACCAAAGGGTGAGTTGATTCTGCCTCTGGAATCTACAGATTCGAGTGATTTCTCTGTCTTTAACCATGTTGTGATTTAAATAGACTTTCTCTCTAATTGTGCAAGCACATTCAGAACGGCTAGTGATTTCCTGGCTCAGAATAAACTACAAGAACATTATCATGATTATTCTCTAATATTCTCAAACATGTCAAAATTGAAAAAAGATATCTTTCGGCCAGTTCAGATGTCAATCAGTGTGTGTCCCAGAAAATGAACCAGTCAGATTAACTGTAATGGTCAAAGCTATCATATGAGCAATGATGACTGTATGATGATAAACATATGGTACAAATCCAATCAACATGATCAAAGGAGTATGGATGTTGAACTTGGAGTGAGTGAATCAAATTAAAGTGAAACATGTACCTTGGACATATTTGATATTTCTGTTCTGATAAATACAATCAATGTTCGGTCAGCTCATGTCAGATTTTCTTCATTTATAGTTTCATTTCAATCAAGGAAATCCCCATCTGTAAAAAACACAATGCATCCGTCATACTTGCTGTTGGAACTGCGGTCCCCTCGGACCCCCAATTTAATGCCTAAAACCCTCAAAATATATTACGGACGGTACTAAGCACGTGCAAATATATATACAGTAAACTACGGTTGTAACCAACTCAAAGGGACCCCTTATTTTAGTTCATTATGAGCATATATACAGGATGTATACAGCATATGCCTGGGACAAGAAAAACAGTACGTTATATCCGTCTGTCCGTTATAACCGTGTTTGTTATAAACATAGTTTACTGTACCAATGTAAGTCACTAAGTGCCTGATGTAAGATGGTAAGAATCGGGGGATGCTACATACAATCATTACCCGTGAAAATCTGGGTTAGAATTGATCTTCAATAACCTATGCTTTTTGGAAGAGGCGACTAAATGAACCGGGTGGTCATGCTCGCTGACTTTGTTGCAGCATGTCATCATATCTTAATTGTGTGGGGGGGCACGGGTGGCCCAGTCGTCCAAGGCGCCGCGATTCGTTGTGCAGAGTTGCGTCCCTTGGGCATGCCAGAAACCTATGATTGTGGGTTCGAATCCCGGTTCGCCCTGATTATGTTTCTAGGTTTGTCAACACCATACCCGTGCTCGTGGGTTGCACCAAAGTGGAAAACGTCTGAGACCTGCATCACTTCGGGCTTTCCTCCCACATTAAGCTGACACACCATGATATAACTGGAATACTATTAAAAGCGGCGTTACACCCAACTCACTCACTCACTCCCTCACTCACATAATTGTGTGGATGTATGCTCATGCTATCAATCACTGGATTGTCAGGTCCAGACTCGATTATTTACAGGCTGCTGTCATATTGTTGGAATATTGCTGAGTGCGGCATTCAACAACATTACTTATTACTTCAGAAGTCAGTGCTTCTTTTGTGTTTGTAGAATGGAGAGGAACCTAATAGTCCCCCTACACACAGGATGTTGTGACTTGTTATTGTCCAGGGAGTAGGTCAGTAAATGTGTATGTGTAGTGTCCTGGCACGGTCCGACTTTCTGGGTTATACTGCAGACATGCACCAGAATAAGTAGATAAAGACACCCATGTCTTCTGTGTGTGTATTAAATCCTCATGAGTTTATGAAAATGGGATGTGCATGGTGATAATGAATATACATGAGCAGCCTTCGAAATTAATGCTTGTCTTCCAGCCCGATACTAATGATTTGTGCTTAGGACAAGTAAAATTCCAGTTCTTGTAGTCCTCACAGACTAGTACTAGTACATGTAGCAGCAATCTACTATACAATCAGCAAAGGGCTGTAATCTGAACCAGTTCTCAATGCTTCAATATGCTACAATTGGTTGGTTGGTTTGTTGTTTAACGCCGCACTCAGCAATATTCCAGCTATATGACGGCGGTCTGTAAATAATCGAGTTTGGACCAGACAATCCAGTGATTGATATCATGAGCATCGATCCACGCAATTGGGATCGATGACATGCATCAACCAAGTCAGCGAGCCTGACCACCCGAGACCGTTAGTTGCCTTTTACGACAAGCATAGTCACCTTTTACAGCAAGCATGGGTTGCTGAAGACCTATTCTATCCGGAATGCACTGAAAAACTGAACATGTAAACATAGTATAACAAATTTTCTTGTTCAAGCAGGACTAGCTACAAACTCTTAAGAATTAGTAAAATAAGATTTCTACTAGTCCTTTAGACTAGTCTGAGTAATGAACATCTTAAGCTGCATTAGATACTTTTGACAATTAAGTATAATTAATCTTCCTTTTCCCTTTTTTGTGTATGTCCGTGAATGTCAGCAATATTCTAGCTATATGATGGCAGCCTATAGATAATCATTGAGTCATGAACCAGTGTTTGAAAGCATATGCAATGTACCATACTGTTTCGGGACAACCATGCTTGGAGTTGAACTCGCAAATGACCGTTATGTTTACAAACAAGTGACGACTGTCATGACGCCAAATACACTTACCCCTGATAAAATACTTTCTTTGTATGTCAATTTGAATTTCTATTTCACTAAATCTATCATGTCATTGATATGGTATGAATGTAAGGGAGAAGTTGGTTGATTTTCCATTAGTCTGCAATCTCAAACCAATCTGATTATACAAACAACAAAGTAATTTCATCTGGAAAACATGGTCCATCGTTAACCTTTTCAAAATGAACTATGATGGCATTCCCAAAGACATAAACAAAAGTATGAACGTTACTACGTTTGGGGATAGAGGCCAAATTTCCAGATTCTTGTAATGGCCACGCCCACACTGGTGGCAGCGATGTTACCGAGAGTGTAACAAAGGTGTCACGCACTGGGAAGGAGCTTGTGACAGCAGCTGCAAACCATTGAAGTGAATCCCTTATTCACCCCAATTATGATACATGATTTGTGCATAAATGTCTATGACCTGCATCACTGGAGGGTTATTCCCACATGTTGGATATAACAGAATTCCTGTTCCGTGTGATGTTATTCCCACATAAGCTGACATGTTGGATATAACAGAATTCCTGTTCAGTGTGATGTTATTCCCACATAAGCTGACATGTTGGATATAACAGAATTCCTGTTCCGTGTGATGTTATTCCCACATAAGCTGACATGTTGGATATAACAGAATTCCTGTTCAGTGTGATGTTATTCCCACATAAGCTGACATGTTGGATATAACAGAATTCCTGTTCAGTGTGATGTTATTCCCAACCCAACTATTTCATGTACATGTAGAGAAGGTGTTTTCTGGTTGACCACTATTTACTCGAATAAAAAAAATTCTGCCAGTGTCACATTGTCATGTAAATAATATGACATACGCGTCATAATTGTCAGGTACCACTGTAGACTTTGACAGTTGCCACTAGTCCAAAGCACTGGTCTAGTCAGAGTTCATAGGTCTCATAGGTTTAGCTGATAAAAAATCCATAAATTAACATTAAGATCTACTGGAGACCACATCAAGTGGCAAGTTCAGGCTAGTCTTGCTAGAAGCTGTAAATGTTTTTGGCACAGACAGCCGTTGTTGTCAGGCGACTACATTTTCAATCAAGGCAATAATG